TTTGTTCAAGACCTAATAACATGAAAATAATAATAAAAAAAAAAAAACCCCGTACAAACTTCTGGTGGACTACACTTATCTTGGCACAACTGACATACAAATCATGGACTTCTATTGTTTTGCAAGCAAACTTACTGGTCGGAGAATTGCTAAATACACCATTTTTAAAATACTGCGCTTTGAATTATCATAATTATGTTTTATGTACATGCCACAATTATTAAATGATGTGAATACTATGTATGTGGGTGGACAATATTAGAATGGATCTTAGAGAGCGCTGGGATGGTATGGACTGGATAGATCTGGCTCAGGATAGGGACCAGTGGAGGGCTCTTGTGAACACAGTAACGAACCTTCAGGTTCCATAAAATGCTGGGAAATTCTTGAGTACCTGCTGAATCGGCGGCTCCTCCAGAAGGGCTCAGCTCCATGAGTAAGTAAGTAAGTAAGCGGATACTGTTCAATTTTTAAATTATGCTTCCCACTGTATGTGCTACAAACTTAATATAGGGATGCAGTTCTGAGACTGTTTCGTATAAACTGATTAAAAACTACCATGAATTAAAATTCCAAATTTTGAAATCTGCATAAAATACGGGAAATAAATTCTGTACACCATGGTTATGGCCTATATATGCATGATACTAGGTGGTTCAAATATGACCAGGACTGATTTTTTGTAAATAAGCCGCACTGCACAGCAGCTGTGTGACCTTGAGAGAGTGAAGCCACAACCTCCACTCTCCCTCCTGTTAGGGTTAGAACCTGTTCAATCCTGTCTGAAGTTGCTAGAGTGATGAGCAAACAGAAGCTATCGCGGAGCGTGGAACAACGCATTGTGATCAAATTCCTCGTTGGAGAAAATGTCCGGTCCACTGAAATTCACCACAGACCCCAACAACAGTATGGGGAAGAGTGTCTTTCACGGACCCGTGTGTTTGAGTGGTGTAAGTGCTTCAGAGAGGGCAGAGAGCTAGTGGAGAATGAACCGCATGATCGTCGACCGCAAACATCCATCACCAAGCCAAACATTGATCGTGCAGACGCACTTCTTCGTGAGAACAAGCGCACCACTATCAAGGAACTTGGAGCAATGCTATCCATCAGTGTTGGTAGTGTAGAGGACATCATGAAATACCATCTGCACTATCACAAAGTGAATGCACAGTGGGTACCACGCACTTTGACGGACGTGAACAAAATGGTGAGCATGCAAGTTGCCAGTTGTCTCCTACAGCAGTTTGAAGATGAAGGTGATGCATTTTTGAAGTCTATAGTGACCACCGATGAAACGTGGGTGCACTACTTCATTCCTGAGTCCCAACAATCATCATGTGAGTGGTGGCATATCAGTTCTCCCAAACCCATGAGAGCGTGGAGGAGCTGTTTGGCAGGAAAAGTGATGGCAACGTTCTTCTGGGACTGGCAGGGGGTTATCCATGTAGAATTTCTGACAGACGCCAGAACAGTCAATGCAGCTTATTACTCAGACCTCCTGGCAACAGATGTGAAGGAAAAGATCCGATCCAAGCGGCAGAGAGGTGGAAAACGGGTAGCCTTCCTTCAAGACAATGCACGCCCCCATACGGCCAAAACAACAATGGAAACCCTCCAGAAATTGAAATGGAACCTTCTGACACATCCGCCGTATAGTCCTGATTTGGCACCAAGTGATTTCTACCTGTCCGGAAGGCTCAAATCAGACTTGCAAGGCATGCAGTTTGTGGACGACAACGCCGTCATCCACAATGTTCGGGAGTGGATACGCCGCCAACCACAAAACTTTTTTGAAAAGGGTATCAGGATGCTTCCAGAATGTTGGAAAAAATGTGTTGACTCCAGAGGGGAGTACGTTGAAGACTGACATGTGCAAGTAAGTGTTTGGCAATTTTGGTTTCTAAAGAAAAATCAGTCCCGGTCATATTTGAACCACCTTGTATATCTCACAAGGTAACAATTTTCAATCCTTTTAGGTGAATACACCTTCTGTTATCTGGACCATGGCCAAAGTTACCCACTTACTTTCCATTATGACATTTTAAAACCATATGATTAACTAACTACATGGAGCAAAGACCTCTGTGAGAAGCTAGGAGTTGCTCAGCTAGTCAAAAGACACAATATTTCCTGCCTTTTGTCAAACCCAAAGTACAGTACCACAGTCACATCGTCATACCCTTCTGTCCAAGCTGCATTTTAATGTTATCCTCTACATCTTCATCTCACAAATAATATTTTCCATCAAATAACTTGCATCATTTCTCATCTTCATGCATGCTACACACTCACCCATTTCACCCTCCTTCATTTGACCACTCTTTTAACAATATTGGGTGAAGAGCACAAACTGTGAAGCTTATCATTATGCAAGTGAGCTAAGATAACTCAGTCATTGCAAAGACTAGGATACAGACTTGATGACCACATATCTCTGTCTGGTGTCAAGGTTACCTATTCACAGAGTTATACCCTTCCTTCCCACACCTTCATGGTGTGATGCTTAATCGAGTGCCTTTATGTAATTTTCTCCAACTTCTTGTTACTTCCTCTGGGCTGGGTCCGAACATTCTCATCAGCACACTGTTCTCAAATACTCTCAATCTAAGTTTGTCCCTTAAATTGTGAGATCACACCCTTATCAAAAAGAAAAATAAAACTTTGGTTTTGCATATTTTAATCTTTAAACTGCAGATGGCTGATGTGATGATAACAAACTGTGAACTAAAGCACAGGGCAGATAACTAACAAATATCACTTACTAGAACTCTTTTGTGCGCTCGGCGCTGTTCGAAAGGACTATCACTACTACTGCCAGAGTCTTCTATTCGACGTGTTGACCTCTTCCTCTTCTGAACCACACTATTGAAGACATCCAGATCACTCTCTTCACTCATTGTCTATCTGTAAGGAAATAATCTTATGTGTATCTCTGGAGAATGTTCGCACAGCATTCATCATCCCTTGAAGTAACAAACTATTTTTGGTAAAAGTAAACCTTACATCATTTTACCTGCATGCATTCCTTACACAAAGCACATAAAATGAACAAATGAACACATGATGGCAAGGTCTCTGTTTATCTCTAAAGCTATTAAACAAAGCCTGAGGAAATTTTGTACCAGGGATTTACACTACCACACTAATATAATTTTGGTCAAATCAGTTCTGTATTTCAATGATACTCCAAGATTTACTTTTTTATAAACGAAATACATAGTCCCTGTGCTTAACTAATTACACCCTACACCATGAAGGTGTATGGGGGAATGGATGTACAGATCCATATTTTCTTGACCTCAGCACTAGTTTGGGGTGAGTGGTCAGCTTGATGCCTGGGGAAAGAGCCCTGGTACCCCTTGGATAGGAGGCTAGGTGGGCCTCAGAGCCAGTCTGGATGATGTGGAGAAGAGAAAATTCTTGACCCTACTGTGACTTGAACTCTGACCCCTTTGTTGTTCAGCCTGTAGCCAGTCGCTATACCAAATACATTATCCACATGTACCAATTGCTTTAATGTTAAAAAATTCTGAATCTTGCCCACACAGGTATTTACTGATTTATTATGATTCTCTGAGTAAACAGCAACTACTGACCAAAACAGCATTAACAAATAGATCTTTGTAATGGAGATGTAGTGTGTTTTCTGTGAGATAATCTATTAGTAAACATTATGTAGATGAATACCAGCCATTAAGAGGTTAAAGTGTTTCTCAATCTAGTAATTATTTAATGACTATGGACTCTGCATACTCTGCTAGGAATTGGGACTTCTTTCCCCTTTAATTCCTTGACTTATGATTCATAACTGCGTATGTTTGCTCTTCTAGTTGTTGCGTGTTATTTGCCAGGCAGTACCGATGTTACCCCAGAAATGTTACAGTGACAGCTCAGGTACCATTGCTACCAACGGTGAGTAAACATTCATTGTTATGTATGGTCTACAATATGTGACATGTGCTAGCCAATCGCTTCTGTCAAAACCAAAGTCAAAGTCACATTGTGACTGACAGTCAGTCAGTCTGTCTATCTTGGTGTCAAGCCCCGGCTGGGTCTCATGACCAGATGTTACTTTTTTAATGAAAGTTACTGTCCTGTCCATGTGGGGCACCCTCTCCGAGAGGTTGGGTCTGTCATTTGTCAGTCACAGTCGATACTATTAGTCCATTGTCACTATGTAGACTTTTTTTTACAATTGAGTCTTAATATATAGTATGTATAATATATACAAGGCCTCTGTCAGTCTAGCACACACCACACATTGTTGTAGACCTTACACAGCAACAACTGTTTACTTGCCATTGCTAAGCAATGGTACCTGAGCTGTCACTGTAATGTTTCCAGAGTAACGTCATTAGTGACAGGCAAATAACACAGAACTAGTAGAGCAAACGCATATATATAGTCATGGATCATAAGTCAAGAAATTAAAAGGAAAAAAGTCTCAATTCCTAACATCCTCACATACCATTTATAACCAACTAATACTGAAATAATATAAAATGTAGGATTCTTTTTATAAACAAGCATCCTTCGTGAAAATGATGACAGCTGATGCCAGAGGGCACTGCTGGCAGATGTACCTGCATAATCATATACAATGTTCTACTGTTGTGCTGTATTAGCATAATCCCACAGATAAGCATTATGCTTCCATTGTATATGGCCAAATACAAAACACAGAGTGACATCTGTCCTGCTTATTGTTTTTCAGTAATGTATCTTTATCTGAACTAAGCGAGTTATGTAAAACTGCAAAGAACATGCGTTCTTTCATTCAGAGCAATGGCAACAGGTATTCAGAAACAACAGCATAAAGGAGTAATCAGTCTTCCTAAAGGTCACCAATATTTTCATATTAAGAAATGTTACTGTCTGTATCATATGGGTGTGAAGCTGACCACTCGCCTCCAGCTTGTGCTGAGGTCAATAAAATGTGAATCTATACATCTATTCCCCCATACACCTTCATGGCATAGTGCTTAATTTGTTAAGCACAGGGACAACTTTCCCTCTTTACTGTTTGTACCAATACAATCCAGCGAACTTGTTAGAGTATCTCATTCATTTCTGCTGACATTAGAAAATAATATAAGTTTGGAATCTCCAAATTGTGTAAGGTCTGCAAGCATGAATACATGAAAAAACTTCAGCATGCTGAATCATCATCAGCCACACAGAATGCATGTGTTTTCTTCTTCTGAAAGTGCTATAGATCAAAGGATACACTTATGGCATCCTATTTAAATTGTTAAGGAAATCTACAATAGAAGTGCTACAAATTTCATTTTTGCATTTATGTATAAAACTGGATGGGTTAATAAAACAAACAAAAAACTCTGTGGCCTGTAGTCCACAAGCGAACTATACTGACTGAGTGACTGCCAATTTTCGGCAAAGTTAGTGCCAACTTCTGCAGATAGAGGGTGCTGTGTGGTCAGCGCAACGAATCCCAATTGCCGTTAATTTCGGTTTTCTAGACCGGAGCCGCTATTTCCTTGAAATAGCTCCTCAATTATCCTCAAGAGGCTGAGTGGACCCTGTTCCACACCCACTACTTCTCAGAAAATCTGGTAGTGCCGGGAATCAAACCAGGAACTTCTAGATCTGTAGCCAGGAAGTCTGACCACTAGAACACAGAGGCGGTCACTGAATGGATTAATAGGATTATTAAATTTTCTAAAGAGAAGCATCACTTGTCTTAGTACTTTCAATTAAGGTTGTGTTGAATTTTGTCATGGGCTCTCAATGGTGATATAAAAAAAATGTGTCAATTCATGTACTTATATCTTGTTTAAAGACCACTGGGAAGAGGACGCCATGTAGTCTGCTACATGTTTACTAACATTTCTGAAGAACATACTGACAAGTAAGCCACACAAGCAGTAACTGCACACTCAGTTTACCCTTCAACTTTCTAGATAAGAGCAGTTAAATCCCTCTGCTAAGATCAGTAATCTTCTGTCTGACTATGGTATCACATACCCGGGGATAGTACTCTTCAGTCATTGATGTGATAACCTCAATTTCACAGGGTACTGTCCGCATTATACTATGATTAAATACTGCATTCTAGCAGGGTGGCAAGTAATCTGTGAATGTGTGTGCAAAAAATAACAATTTAAAATTCAGATCCAAGTTGTTGACCTGGTATACAATTTGTACCAGCAAGTACACCATCAAATACACTGGGAAAACTGTTAACATCAACTATTCAGTTCTAATTTTATGTAACTGTGAGAATGAGAACGGGCATGAAAACAATGTTCAATACTATTTTGTTGGAGGAATTTAAATTGCACACTATAAATGGCAATACTTTGTAGTGTTTTACAAGTGTATCCAAAGACACTGTGACAAATTCACAGAGGAGCAGAGCTACAATTTAATAGTCATACATTTACTTTACTAAAACCTGCAGTCAGGTGAACAAACGCTGATGTGTAATATATAAAAGGGCAATCTGTACATCAGCAATACGAATATAAAACAAAGCAGGATATTTGTTTAATTAATGCAAATTCTTACTTCATGATTGAGAATCATACTATTGCACTCTTAAATTTTGGTATGGAAAAAATATTAGAGTAATTCTGGAAACAGAAAGGTCACCTCTTGAAAATGGAACCCATGAAATATGTGTAATAAAATATACACATAGTATGTTACATGGAGACTTTTAACTTAATCACTCTGAAAGGAGGAATCATTGGAATATACAGCAAGAATGCTCATTACTCGTATATTATGATAAAATATTACTGATAAAATACTTGCAGGTATGTATGAACTGGAAGTACTATTAATCAACCAATAAAATTACATATTAACAGTTAATTTTTATAAATATGCCTATATACTGCAAATGATAAAGAACTGTTTCAATATGAGGTAGAATTACAACTTAATGAAATGGTAAATACTGAATATCAGATTATAACATGTCAGCCAAGTGTTAACCTATACTACAAATGTGTTTTAAGGCCTCTCCTGCTATCCAATTCTATCTCTATTTTTGCAGTGTGTCGAATCAAGTAATTTTGTATTGCTCCCATACTATTAACATGTGACCCTATTTCTACGGTAAAATTGTCATATTCACAAAACAACAATGTCCTGCAGTTATAAACTGACGCAAATTTTGTGTTCCTTACTTAATAGAACGTGTAAGAACTGTTACTGCTTTCAGACACTTATGTACTAAACGTACGATTCTTTTACACTAGTCAATACATTTTATAAGACATAATAGATCTAATATGGATACAAACAGTAATTAAAATTAAACGCCCGATATTAAATGCATGGAAGATACTCCACTACCGAATTGCTTACAAATTGAACAAATATTTTGTCTATGCTTGGGCGGAAATTGGAAGTCATTTCTAAAACAATACCTACTAGTTCACCATACAATTATCACCAGATTCCACATTTACTGCGTATTCAAGTCAACTTTTAAAAAGCGATATGAGTGAAATGACATGTGTCTTTTTCTTAGCTGCGGATAGAAGTGTAGACCAGAATAAGGCTAACGGTTTCATAGCAACGCGTCAATACTCAACAACCACTTTAGAACGCAAATTGTTACCTGCACTTAGAAACATACACGCGGTTGTTTAAGATTATACAAATACATCTGTATAAACTAAATGACAAAACTATTATAAATTCAGAAAATATGACAGCCAAGCCGCCCTTGTCTCTTTTTCATTATCGGCCATTTTTCTTCGCGTACCGCAACGGAACGCGTTCAGAACGGAACCAAACGCTAGGACAGTTTAAGAGCACCATTTGATTAATAAAAAAAGTGACCCACCTGGGAGATTATTCTATGTAATAATTTACAGAACTACACATAATAACGCTGATTCAGTAACTAATGCAAATAAACATAATTCGCTCAGGATGTAAATACGAGCTCAGATTAATTTTCACGCTGAAAACATAAGGGCTGTCAGAAAAATGTGACAGTAGGCTGTTGGGTTTATGAACGCATTCAGCAGCGTGTCCAGGGAGGCAGGTATGCTGGAAGAACGAATGAAAGCTATGTTCTACAGGCTTGCTAACAGCCAGTCAGATGTTATAACTATGACTTATTTTATTTTTACTTACTAATTTATGGCACATTGTGTACTATAATTGAAAATTACAACATCTCTAGCATAGTAACTACACGTTCAAAATATTTAAAAGACTATTTGGGACAGATTAATTTTGAAGTCACAAGTTAGAGTGTTGGCGAAACTGAGTGTATTGGTACTAAGGAACCTCTAAGGAAGTGCGTAAAATAAGCGTGGAAGATGGGTCGTATGCATGCTCCTGGGTAATTAATATATTCTTGTATTCATTAATTCTGTGTGGCCTTTATTGATTCCGAGTTAACGTCATTTTCACAGATCTGTTATTATTCGTGTGTATTAAAAATTTATAGATTTTTATTGGTGTACCTCGTGGCTTTTGGCCTCCATGTTGATACGGCATAACGTTTCTGGCGTGAAATTCCGCAGCCATTATCCCCCATTTCGTGATTATTCTTCGATTTATAATATTCTTCTTTTCAGCAAGGGTATATCCCAGTCAGCACTTCCGTATCGGCGAAGCGTACCAACATGGTTGAAGTTGTCGTCAGACGACGTGAAGGAACAGATCTTCAAGTTAGCAAAGAAGGGTCTGACTCCTTCTCAGATAGGTACATCAAATTAAAAACAAATCGTTATATTTTACTCTGTATTTAGGGAAGGCACAATGGGATTTTCATTATATCTTGAGAGGATTTGGAGTGTTATGAATACTACCATATCATTTTTCAACCCTGTTTAATCTGTGGGCATAGTGAACCGTGAGGGACCTCAATTTGCAGGATTGATATAGAGTGTTTCAGATGAGATTAAGGGGAGTGAGAAAGTTACACGTGTGCCACGATGCAGTAAATCATAATTTCACACAATATAAACTGAAATTAGTGAGCTATAATAAAAATAGCTTGGCCAAAAAAAAGGTAAAGCTATCCTTGTAACGTGCAGTAAAGGCCCATAGGGTTGTCAGACATCGAGGCACCCACATTTTCTCTAGACAGTCGGCTCACAGATGGTGGTAAGGTTGTCAGTCTTGCATGCTGGTCCCACATCCCCACCCCCAGAAGATTTCTGGTCCCCATTTCTGTTGGAGGCTGATTCAATCCTGGGGCCATAGTGTGGCTGGAAGGATTAGTAAATTGGAAAAATCCACCTCATTGGGACTCAGACCTGTGACCTTGTGGCTTGTACAATAGTGCCTCAGCCAACTACGCTACCGCGTGACCCCAAAGTATGAAATGTATGAAAAGTTTATGTTAGAAATTTGGGCTGTGTTCTTTAAGATATAGTTTTCTTCAGATACTATAAATAAAATTAGTTATCCATAAAGTATTGGTTTAACTGTATGTTGGAGCTTACTACATCCTAAAGTACACTTCCTGATAACTTTCTGTTTCTTTAGTACTTCTCATGATCTTCGTTTCTTTCCAGTGTAGGTTAATATTGGAAGCTATTTTGTGAAAATGTGACTGGTTGTAACCTGGTATTTTATTTATTAAAGTATCCATATCCAGTTTATGGTCTTTTGGAATGCAATACCATGTAGTCTGGAAGATGGGTGCCAGTGGTTTAGAGCAGTGTTTCTCAACTACCAGGCCCTGACATAAATTATATGGGGTCCTCGTCTTATAGACAAAAGAATTTACTGGGCCATGGTCTGAGAAAGGTTGAGAACCACTGGTTTAGAGGAACTTTGTGCCAACTTCTTTTCAAGATAGCATGTCTACCATGAAGGCAGAAGGAGTGTATTATTCACTGAAATGCTGGTGCAGAATCTGCAATGAAGGGTGAGGTTCTGGGTTCCTAAGAAATGCTCGTTTCAATCTACCAAACTACACAGCATTACATTTCAGATGACAGTAACATTGACTCCACCTCAAATCATACATTTTGTTTGCAACTTACATTGCTTTTGTCTTTCAGGACAATATGTAACATATAAAATAGGGGTATAACAAAATGTAACATCATTCTTTGATATTGAAGGTGTCATTCTTCGTGACTCCCATGGTGTTGCACAAGTGAGATTTGTGTCGGGAAACAAAATCCTGCGGATTATGAAAGCAATGGGTTTGGCTCCTGATCTACCAGAGGACTTATATTATTTGATCAAGAAAGCAGTGGCAATTCGCAAACATCTGGAAAGGAACAGGTATTATAATAGCGTGTAAACTGGTACTATAGGTCAGTTTTTCTTTACAAAAGGGTTTACTCACAAGCAAGAAATGCTGCCTTGAGTCTTACTATTTTTCTAGCCTTTCAAGCTTATGGTATGAATCACTCCCTTGAATCAGTGTATCACTTTTTATGGACCTTAATATGGCTGGAAAGGAATCTGCCCTGTAGTGATAGAAGTGTACAGTAAACTCCCCCTTAAGGAAATGATCATATGAGAATACAACAGAAGTAAAATACTTTTAAAAGAAATCCTTATGCTTCCTACTGTGTTGATGTATTTATATTACAAAAGAATGACTCTTTATGATTAACAGGCTATACTCAAGTGTTTGTGCTTAAATACTAGGAATTTGGCCTTCTATGACATAACATCATGTAGTCCATTGAAAATCAGTGGATGTTTCAGAGGAACATGTTTCCTCCACCTTCAGGGTTGAGAAATAAGCCAAAGAAGCTTGCCACCTGCATCATGCAAGATGTTCCTCTGAAATGTTGGTTGACTTGCAGTAGATTACATGGCGATATATCCCAGAATATAGAATGCTTCATGACCACCACTGGGAGAACCTCAAATCTACATGGCGATATATCCCAGAATATAGAATGCTTCATGACCACCACTGGGAGAACCTCAAATCTACATGCTGTATGTGTACTTGTGTACCAGTGAGTTGTTTATTGTATTCTTAGCTTCTAAATGTGCTGTATGAAGAGCTGTTATGTAGTGTGTGAATACACATACAGACACTTATTTAGGCTTGAAACTTAGGGTCAGATTATTGAAGTTGAAGTCTGTTTAATTTTATCGAGAGGTATAAAATTGCACATATCTGTCAAATGTAATTGCATTTATCGTCTGCTGCAAGAAAATCTGAGATGAGAGTAATGCTAATGCCGGTCACTGGCCTGAACTTTTGTGTGGTGATTACAAGATTCTTTTTCAGCCTACGTTCTTATTTTGAAAAAACAAAACTAGGCCTATGCAATCTCCGTGCTGTCTGTGTGTATCCCCCCATAAACTTTTGAATGGCTGAACCAACTGACCAATTGTGCAGCCACTCTAGAACTTTCCTCCATTTTATGGAACCTGAAAGTTCATTACCATGTTCACAAGAGCCCTCCACTGGTCCTTATCCTGAGCCAAATCAATCCAATCCATACCATCCCATCCTGTCTCTGTAAGATCAATTGTAATATTATTCACCCACCTATGTCTTGGTCTTCCTAGTGTTCTCTTTGCTTATGGCTTTCCCACCAATGTACTGTATGCATTCCTTTTCTTCCCCATTTATGTTACATTCCCTACCCATCTCATGCTCCAAGCATGCGAACAGAGCGAATTGGAACCAAGAGTACAGGAGGTTGGCCTGTGAGGATTTAACATGTGATTTGAAGACTTTATTTATGTATAATAATTGGAGTGTGTGATTAAGTGAGACTGTTAATAGTTACCATGTTATAAACCCGTGAAGACTAGTGGAGAGTCCAAGGATGAGAATGCAGCATGAATTGTGAAGGTTAAGTACAGCAAAATGTACTACTCTAACTCCATTATCATTATAATTTTGTGTATACTGAACCAGTCTTTATGAAACTAGGTCACCCATTTTATACTGTGGATGAATTTTTTTTATATATACTAGTCGGTAAGATTAATTGTATTCTGGTTCTATTCTTATGTCTTGACTTAGTTCTTTGTACTACTTATTTATCTAATATTACTCTTCCACATCCTGAAGTATTAGATTTTTATGGAAATAATAGATGAGTCATGAGTTCCATACTGGGGGAGTTTTGTTGTATATACCGCTGATATGTTATTTTATTTTGTTTTATATTATGAATGCCTTGACTTGTTCCTGTGGGAATGGAATGCTTGTTTTTTTGATCTGTGACTCATTGTATATCCAGTGGTTGTTTCCCAGCCTGTATCTGGATCTGTTTTTGAATTTGAAATAAATTGAAATGAATGGCACCTGATCTCATGTCACTGGCATACCGAGTAAAACCCCCCTGTCAGTCTGTGTGAGTATCCCTCAGTTGTTAGGCAGTGGCTTGGCAAAAATCTCTGTGTCGTTTCTAGTTTAATAATGACACATTTCTGTTTTGATAGAATGGAAAATAATGTGGCAACAGTGTTAAATCAACATTTTTTTTTGTTCAGTTATAGTTGCTAATGGACCAGTAACATTAATTTTGGTATGGTTATACATCAAAACATGCCTGCATATTGAGTATGAATAATTTATGTTAACAGAAACATTGTGGTGGTACAGAATATTTTGAATATGGCTGATAATTTTCTGGTAAGAGCAAGTCCAGACTTTAGACAAAAGCCATCTTAGAATGAGGAATTACCATTTGAGGACACATCACTTTAGCAATGTTNATCCCTGACGAAACATACACGACGAACCACGGCAACGGGTTAAGTGTGTGTGTTTTATTTAATATTAATGCATGATATTGAGTTTTATTTGGATTTGAGGTTCCCATGGTGGTTACAAAGCATTTTGTATTCTAGGATGTAATACTATGTAGTCAGTCAACTTTCAATTGACTATATGGTATTTTATCCTAGAAGACAATAACTTTGTCAGTATAAAATTTAATACTGGCAGTCTTACTGTAAAGCAGCACCAGAACATAAAATGTGTTGTGTGTTATTTTCTAATTAAAGATTGTTTTAAGAACTATATTTCTTACCATTGTAGTTTTAAATTTGCATACTTTTATCAATACATTATTTTTTCAGGCAAAGTATAATTTTTGCAAACAAGTCTTGTGTACATTTGATTCCAGGAAGGACAAGGACTCTAAGTTCCGTTTGATCTTGGTGGAGTCCAGGATCCACAGGTTGGCACGCTATTACAAGACCAAAAGTGTACTGCCACCAAATTGGAGATATGAATCCAGTACAGCCTCTGCTCTTGTGGCTTAAATGTGTAATCTGTTCTGCTTATAATGTGAAATAAAGAATGTTTCTTGAAATGTCTTTGTTATCATATGTAGTAAGATTTTTGTTCTTGTATTAGGACAGGGATGATGCACCTTTCACAGATGGTGTGCCAAAAATAAAGTGCATACAGACTCATGGGCTGTAAGATTATCAGTTAAATTCCTGATTTTAATATTATGGTTATTGCAGCCTTTATCAGCTGTGTGTTGCATTGTTGTCAGCATAGGTGTGGTCCAGTGGCTATGTATCACATTATTGTCACTAGAATGCCCTTTTACTTTGAGCCAGGCTATAGCAGTTATGATACTGTAATTTTTTCACTGCTGTATACACACCTCCCTAATGTACTTGTTTAAAAATGATCATCCTAGTAAGGTCATTCATAGACTGAAGGGATGCTTCCATCCCCTCCATGTGGGCAGCTCTGGGACTGGAATATCTCAATGTTTGGGAAGATGTAAATAAGTAAATTTTCTCACTTGCTTGTAGAATGGAGTGAGAGTTTGTAGACAACCATCAGAGCATTTGAACTCTGACCAGCTACTAATGGGAAAGCAAAAGAAATAGGTTTCCTCATGTTTGTTCTTGAAAGGGGTGTAAAGGAATACACCACTACTGGACTATTGCTAGAATTAGCTGGTGTTAAGGGGTTAGGTAGGCTGCATACCAGCATGTGTCAAGACATGTAACAGTCAAGACACAAAGAAAGGAGCACAGTTGAAACGAATGACATTATGAAAACCGCTGCACACCGGTCTGAGTCATGATGCTGACTAATCATGAAGCAAGACTGCATCTTCTGTCTCGTGTCTTGATGCAGTTGGTGTGGGGCCACCCTTAGAGGAAGGCAGGGGACAGACTACCATCAGAGACCCTGACCTGGCTAGTCTTGTGTTAGTGGGGGGAGAATGGTATATGCAGCAAGTACACATACCAGGAAACTTTGTGAGTAGTTTCAACTTTAAAATTTATTTTGAAAGTCACATCTGCATTCTGTCTTTATCTTGAAGCTAAAACAAAGTGTAAGAGTAGAGGCGAACATATTTTTAGGAAACAATTGGGTGTATAGCATTACTCAGAGCATATTTCTTCCTGTTGTAATCATGCAGATTCTGAGGACTAAAATAGATAACCAAAGATTACTATATTTTTCAGAAGATGGAAGCAGCACTTTCCTCCACAATGTTAACATACTACCAAACTACGTGAGGTCACAGTCGAGAAGACAGTGATCTATAGTCACTGCTGTGAGAACCTCATCTCTTGCCTAAGAAAAATACTGAACTCAGTTAAGAGAATGACTGATGAAGCAATCTCAGCTGATAATGAAAGCGAGCTTGATAAGCTAGTAATGGTGGGTGACATAAAATATGGTCAAAGCCAAAACACCTTTGGGACTCTGGTGGTGCCCTTCCTTTAATCAAAGATCTCAGTAGACTGAAGATAAATGAAGAACCCCATGAGAACAAAGGTTGTATTCCACTTTTCTGCTCTTCACTGAAGTTGAACTGTTGGTGGCATGCAAATACAACGAACATAGCCAATGTTTAAACTCATTTGACAGCAATAAAAGATGCTCAGAACTTTTTGACATGACTGTACATGAGATGATTAGTGTTTTTGGCTGTAATATTACAGATTGGACATGACATCAAGGACATACTGAAAGATTATACATCCATTCATGGACGGTTCCTTACTCCATTTTGCAGTAACTGATTATATATCTGACTTTGTGTTCCACTTTTTTGGTGTCTGTGTGTAACATCTTTTAATTGTCTCGTTTTCTCTTTATTGTCACTCCATGTTTTAGCCTACACAGCCATTGCTTTTCTTATAGTTCTTAGTTTCTTCAGTGGCAGAACGAAGAGTGTCTCAAGCAGCAGGTTCATCAGGGATAAAATTATATTACATCTTCATAAAGGATTCAAACTAGCAGTTTAAAATGTAGCCAAGAGACACACCAGAACCTATTGCTATAATTATCTTTCCAAAATGTGTAATACAAAAGGCATTCATGTTATCGAACTTATAGGCACTTTTGCTCTAATGTAACACCACACCCAGACATGGAATTATGAGTCAACACAGTGAAAGGGTAAGTGAGGTAAATGCTTAATTTGACACTGATGTTCTACATAAACAGCAGAGAATCAATGTCAGTTTTTCACATGGCAAATCAGAGTATGGAAGCAACAGTTGTTTGGTTACCTAATGTGTACAGAAATCTATATTCCTGATTATCAGTGCACCTGTTTCTGGTGTGTTTACAACCTTGCAGAGCACCTATGAAGTTCACTTATGTCTGTCTATACATGGAACAGCCTAAGAACAACCGCACAGATTTACATATTTGATACTGTAGAATTTTACAAACAATTGCAAGCCCACTTTAGTATTCATTTTTCTTTGAGAGTTTAAATGTTTCTGTTTTATCTCGAGCATAACTCACTACATATTTATTGGAACAAAAAATGTTTCAAACACAAGCTTCAGAGAAAAATTAAACAGTTTATGTTAGATACACTTTTCCTCTCAGTTGTACGGTTTCTGAGATCAAATCAGACTGTGTGCGCATATATCTGAATTTTTATAAATATTCTGATTATTCACCCTAAAAAGCTAGAGAACACATCATTTCGGAAACTGAATCTGTCTTCATCCCGGGGGGGGGGACATTACTCTTGTGGGTCCCTTAGGAGCTAACCTCTAGTTCTTTAGAATTCCTGCTGATGGACAAAGCCAGGAACCCAGTAATTCTGGGGGGGGGGGACTGTTGCTTTAATGTGCTCTTCTACAAACTAAACATAAATAATAAAGTATCAACCTCGAAATAATCAAATTATTTTAACACATTTTTTACTTTGTACAATACTTTACAATTGTGATATATGATGTAATTCTTTGCTATAGATCACATTCATAATTAGTTACATAATCACACTCTTCATACTTTGAATTCACTTTTGTTTATAACTACCAAGGACAGAGTGTATTTTGGATCTTCACGCATATCACCATACATGCTGAGCAAACTAAATGGAAACCATATTAAAGCAACGATGTAATTACGGCAAATGCGGTTTTCACGTTGCCACATACCCTTGTGCGGAAAACAAGAATGAAGTGCAGCAAATTTATTAGCATGAAAGTAAGACAAAGTTTTGAGTGAAAGAGATGCAATACAGAATTAAATTCACACAACTAATCACAACCTTTCATTTAATCTGCACAGGAATTCTTTTCATCTTCAGGTTTCACCACCCATCACATTCACGCACTCACAGAAACATACAAGTAACACAACAGGTTTACTTATGTGTAGAGGACACACTATCACTGTCATCATCATCAAGGTTTTTATAGTCACGTCTTACTTCTTGCTGCACTTGTTGCCACTTTGCTACTAGTGATGAAACACCCTTCTTCTTTAAAGCAAGACCCGGAGCCAATTTGGGCTAGAACACAAATGCAAAGCCATATATTTCACAACAGGAAATCCAAGTCAACAAATAATTACATTTTTTATTTCTTTACATGCTTACTTAACAGATCAAAGGCATATTATAAAGAAAGAAACAAAATGATAGAAAAAACAAGTAAACATTCTGACAATAACAATTCAATTAATACAATCATGCCAACCATTGTGTGGCAAGAAAATATATACATATGCATGCACATACATTAATCTTGAATACAATTAATATTTTAATAATTATGCAAGTACCATTATAGAATATGTTTAAGAGAAACAGTTTTGGTTCCAAATACATCAATGTCCCTACAGACAACCCTAGCAGCTGAAGCACATTTAGCAGGACAATTTTTACTTGAAGAGCAGACACTGAACAAAGTCTGATATAATGAGCAGAAACTTGGAGATCAACAGTGTCCAAAAGAGGATAAAATTCAGAACAGAAGCAAACTTGAATAGGGAACCTCCTCTTACATAAGGTGTTCAATTTTAAGTCCTCTAAAGCATAAGTATAACTGTAATGGACATGGGGAGAGGAACAATTAAAACAAAGAGCTGCAAAGTTCTGCTGGATGTGTTCCAGTTTGTTGCCATCAGTAGATGTAACAGAATTCCAAGTAACGGGCATATTCATGCTTAGACTGAAAAAGGCTAAAATATAATGCACAAAGATGTTCAAGGGGTGAGTAAGATATTATGCTGCGAACTAGACCAAACAATCGAATACAATGAGAAAATATACAGCTTGCATGATTATGGGAATTAAGTTCAGAATCAGAAGTACTCCCAGGTCTTTAGAGTTGGTAGGGGTTACAGATGATTGACAAAGTTTATACTTGTAGATCCACATGTCATTTTTTCTTGAGGATATAATTTTAGTTTTATTAGCAACATAGCGCTAATTAACAGGCATGTGCAAGAATGACTTTTTAAATTCATGACAAGACTGGCAGAAGAATATGGAAAAACTTCAAGAACTGAGAATGAGAATTTTCTTCACTAGGCCAATTCCTTTCACCATAATCACAATTTATAAAACTGACAATTTTTTGCAACACATTAAGTGTAATATTTATCCCTTCTAGTAATTAATCAGATCCTCTTTCATAGAAACATTTTTTCTAAATCACTACTTAACAAAATTGATTCTAGGGCAGAATGGACAGAAAGAGGGGCAGACAGTCAACTTGCTGGCATGGTGATTCATGCTAGCAATGGCAAACATTATGATTCTGATGGGCTGAGTAATTTGTGTGTTGCTGCACAAACCAATGGCACTTATTTGAGCATTCTTAAAGTTTAAGACTGAAAAATCAATGTCTGAATCAAGACACTGTCTTCTTGAAGATCAAGTGCCTATTAATTAATCATTAAGCACATGTACCTAAGGTGGACAAAACAGCACCATGAGGCACTTCAAAATTTAATCCAGAATATTATATTTAAGCATCCTGTTACACTCACACAATACATATGAGACAAACTCCGTCTTAAGTGCAACAATTTAATTGTAGTTCTTTCTTCTTCCCTTCCTCCACACTACATGTTTCAGCCCTAAATGGCCATCATCAGGTGTGTATTCATACGTAGCTGCTACACGTATTAAAGATAAGCAGTGACACACACAGAGAGAACCTACACAGAACAATACCTGAACAGCGATAAAACAAGAAGTAGCCACTGCAGCACTATAGACATAGGGCGTGTACCCCGAGAAAATTTTAATTTTTAAAAATTTGGAAAAAGAAAAAGAACAGAAAATTAATAGACATTTTAATTTGAATTGAAGTTTTAGAAAAGTGCCAATTTTAGAAATCAAATTGACGCGTGTAGGTTAACAAAGATTTTATACATACATACAACTGGAAAGACTGGTGATTTTAAAATTTTAAACTACGGGCAGTGTAGCAGCTACGTAAGAATACACACCTGATGATGGCCATTTAGGGCCGAAACATGTAGTGTGGAGGAAGGGAAGAAGAAAGAACTACAATTAAATTGTTGCACTTAAGATGGAGTTTGTCTCATATATATTAATCCAGAAACCTGAAATGAAGATACAGCCTGGAAGACAGGCAAAGATGGGAGGATAACAGTCAAGTAAATTTTAAAGGAATTAGGGTGTAAGGATGACTCTGGATAATATCCAGTGCTCTTATGAACATGGAAATGAAGCTTCAGGTTCCTCAAAGGCAGGGAACTTCTTTTAACTTCCATGTAGAATATAAACTGTGTTCAAATTTAATAATATTCTGCACAACTTTTGTTTTTATTTATTTAAAAATCTTATCTTGTAAGAGTCAACTTTGGGGTTCTGTCCACATAGTGCAAACATAAAGCAAATAATACTGATCTTATGTCAATGGAGTTAATGTTTCTGTGCTTTTACCTTCTTCTTTTTCCTTTGATGTTCAACAGGAGCAGAGTCTGCAGATTTACTAACAGTTGGTGTTATCTCAGGTTCTACAGCTGCACTAGTTGTCTGAATGTAGAAATTAGAAGGGCCTGGTTGTATTGGAATATCATGTGCTGTTGATCCTGCTGACATTCCTACTGCCAGACTTGTTTCAAGACTTAAGGGATTGTTCATCTCATTCAAATTTTCTTGCATGCCTGATGGTATGGACCCAGAGGACTCCATAGAGGCTAAATCTGAGTAAAAGGAATCCAGCTCAGCATGGAGTGAAACTGCCGAATTCTTGGCTGCAGGACGTGAGATGATATGAGCACTAGGCATGGGCATCGGCATAGCCCCAACATATGGCACTGGACCATACTCAATTCCTGGACCTCCCATGCTCAGAGAAGGTATGCCACCACCTGTATTATGACTACTCGATGAGACCACCGATGCCTAATGATTGGAAAGAAGGCAAGGAATATTAAATTTATGTTTAAAAGGCAATGAAATTATGTCTGTTTCTGGGAATTAAATCTGAAATGTTATAATTCTGTTCTATGCAAATTGACACTTACAAAGCTATAACCTGACCAATGGTGGTGGATCCAAAAAACAAGTAGCCATGCACTGCAACATGATTTCCTGTCTACCTTTCTTTAGAAGCACTAGAGAATGGCCCGCTGAAATCATGGGTAAACTGCATGTATTTATACAGGAATCCTATCTGATTCCAGAGAAAGCCATTCCTCATTAGAATAAACATAAATACAACTTACAATGGAATTATTTAGAACACTATGGTTTAAAGGGCAACGCAATTCATGCATATTCAGGCTATAACATCATTAATATTACAAAAAAATTATTCGAACTGCATCACTAATTAAGGAAATGTGAGTAGTACTCTTGTAACCGATTTCTTCACAATGTGTTAATAAAGTAGTTTTATGCTAAGTAATGATGCCTACTGTTATCAGTAAAGAAGTTCCCAAGTCTTGATGGACAAATTAAAATAAATGTAGAACTCATTCTACACATATATGCCTTCTGCAAAGATACTTGTGTATTTCCCAGTGGCGTTTCAAGTCATATCTAATATATTTCTGTTTAGTTCATAGTAGGGCCTCTTATCAAGGTGACTAATGGCATTAGGCATACACATACATCACAAATGACCATATAATTTTGTTGCTGAATATACCTGAAACTAACAGAAGCCATAAACATATACAGTTTACTCATATATGTCTTACATTATCCGTGACAATGTGAATCCAAGTAGTTGCATAGGTATACTGGTGTCACTATTACCTCACCTATCGTGTGTTCATTTGAGTTATCCTGTCTGTTTCAGATTAAGGCTCTTAAGACAATTTTACTGAACTGGTGTATATGGACATCTATGTGCATGTTTGGAAAAGGAAAGAAACCTTACAAATCTTCAAAAACTAAATCACATTCCATGATTAACGCTAACTACACTTCACATATAAGTATTATAATACAAAAAAAAATTTTTTTTTTGGTGTCTAGGATTTTAGAACTAATTTTAGTTATACTTAAGGCGCTGAATCTAAATATAAAATCAGTTTTTCTCTACCAGCTCTACTTTTTTAGATCAGCGTTTTTGTAACGTGCAGTTCTACACAAAATGTGCAGTTCTAATTGTATTTTGTGCAGTTCTAAATCTCATATGCAAGGATTGGTTCCTGTATATTTGCCCTATTGTCAGTCTGCTGTCCACTGAGTTCCCCCAAAATCCACTAGATGGCATTGTCTGTCCGGTGTGAAGTGAACTTGAACGCTTCCACTAGAGTTGAGGTTAGTTTATATGTTCTCGCCGTGCAGGGTACATCGAAGTTGGCCTCGGGTGATATTTGTTTATAAAAGTAAAAGAGTTGTTATAAATTTAACCTAAAACGTACTGTGTTGAAGATTGTTGTGTTTGTGTTCCTGAATTGAAATAAAATGAGTTCAAGAAGAAGAAGTTGTATAAATCAACCTGATGTGTTTTGTTACATATGTGGAGAATACACGTTAAAAGAAAACAGAAAAACTGTTAGTGACTTTGTAAAGAAAGCTTATTTTGTATACTTTGGTGTTAGGCTTGGTGATCAGGATAAAACCTGGGCACCGCATCAGGTCTGTAAAACTTGTACAGAACATTTACGACAGTGGACTACCGGGAAAAGAAAAAGTCTGAAATTCGGCGTACCGATGGTTTGGAGAGAACCCAAGAACCACTTCGATGACTGTTATTTCTGCCTAGTAAATATTACTGGAATCAATCGAAACAACCGTAGCAAGTGGACTTATCCTGATTTAGCCTCTGCAAGACGCCCAGTTCCTCACTCAGAGGAAGTACCGATCCCAACGTTTCACCAGCTACCAGAGCTCTGTGAGGATGAGTATTTTCCCTCTAATCACCCTTCTGATTGTAATGAAGGTGACAGTGATTATGAAGGGATGTCGTCAATCCCTCAACGTTTTAACCAGGATGAGTTAAATGACCTCATCAGAGATCTCAACCTGTCAAAAGAAGCTTCTGAATTACTGGCTTCTAGGTTGAACGACAAAAATTTACTGGAACAAGAAACCAAAATTTCCTTTTACCGCACAAGAGAAACGGATCTGCTACCCTTCTTCTCTCAAGATTACAATCTTGTATATTGTCACGAAATTAGAGGACTCTTGGAAAAAATGGCTCTTCCTGAATATTTTCCCGATGATTGGCGCCTATTTATTGACAGCTCAAAGCGAAGTTTGAAATGTGTCCTTCTACACAATGGAAACAAATATGGTTCAATACCAATTGCTCACTCCACGAAAATGAAAGAAGAATATAACACCATAGCTTTGGTCTTAGAGAAGATAAAGTATCATGAACATCAATGGGTGATTTGTGTGGACTTAAAAATGGTAAATTTTCTCCTTGGACAGCAAAGTGGTTACACCAAATATCCCTGCTTTTTGTGCCTCTGGGATAGCAGAGACAAAACACACCACTGGGTTAGAAAAGAATGGCCCAAGAGAGAAAACATGTACGTTGGGGAGAAGAATATCATTAACGATCCCTTAGTTAGACGAGAGAAAATCATCTTTCCTCCACTGCATATCAAGTTGGGCCTTATGAAGCAGTTTGTAAAGGCCCTTGATAAGAACGGATCATGCTTTGCATATATAGAAATGAAAATGCCTCAGTTGAGTACGGAAAAAATTGAAGCAGGAATATTTGACGGCCCACAAATAAGACAACTCATTAAGGATCCTGCCTTCGCAAATTCGATGAACGAGGCTGAGCGAAAAGCCTGGACTTCATTTGTTGCAGTTGTCGAAAATTTTCTGGGCAAACACAAAGCTGAAAACTATGTTGAACTGGTAAACGAGATGCTTAACAGTTTCAAATCCCTTGGCTGTAACATGAGCATTAAGGTGCACTATTTACACAGTCACTTAGATAGTTTTCCTGAAAATTTAGGAGACACCAGTGAGGAACAAGGTGAAAGATTTCACCAGGATATTAAAACTATGGAGGACCGCTACCAAGGAAGATGGGATACACACATGATGGCAGATTACTGCTGGAGTTTAAAAAGGGACTGTTCTAAAATACATTCAAGAAAGTCACGAAAAAGAAGCTTCCGTAGTGTTCCGTGACTATAGTTGGTTTGACTGTTATATATAGTCGATGATTTTTTCCTCTATCTTTGTATTTAATATAATAAAATAAAAATATAATTATAATATAGTAATAAAAATTCCATGTTGAGTTTTTTTATTTGATCCACTGATTTAACTTAAAATAGTGTAACGTATATTTCACCAAAATGTTATATCTTAAAAATTTGAGCTCCTAGGCAAAAACTAATGCCATATTTGAATTCAGGGCATCAAATTCATATGAAATCAGCTCCAAATACCCCGGCACCAAAACAGCTGTTGGCTGTTGATAATTATCAATACTCACAAAATAAATATTGCATTTGATGGAAGAGTTATTTTTATACACATTATTATAAAAGGACTCTCAAGCTCTGAATAATAAGTTATTACAACAGATTGGTGAAATCAACCATAAGATCCATCTGACACACTTGGCTTGAACCAACAGATGGAAAACTGAGACACCAACAATTCTGGAATCATGTACCTAAATTTAGGAAGGACAGTGACAGTCCTGCTCATTCTGAGGTCAGTAGCACATACCTAACTGAACCCAAAGAAGCTGTTAAGGAACCTTCTAACCACTTCCAGTCTGTTTGTAACGATTCCCCTTCTGGAGTTGCGTAGTCTGTGCTTCCACATATAACTACACTTTAACTCCAGCTTCAGTTAACGATGATGTTTGCAAAGCTTTCAAGCAGTCATGGTCAACAAAATCTGCTGGACTGCATGGTATCCCTGGTTTGGTTCTTAAGGGTTGCTCTATAATTTTGGCCACTTTACTGAAGTTTATTTTCAATTTTAATTTTTCCACAGAGACATTTCCTGCGGAATGGAAAGAAGTGTGATTGTTCTGTCTTTAAAAAAGACAACAGAGCCTCTGTCAGTAATGACAGGCCCATCACCCTTCTCACTACTTTTCCTAAAGTACATGAAAATGTCATGAGTATATTTCCCATTATTTTAAGACCAAGTTAGTTTTTAGTTTCTTAGGGTGGGGTGAGCCTGAGTCTACTTGGTACATCGGCCGCTAAAGGGTCTATTGTACCAGCCCTGGATGATGATGATGGTGATGAATGTGCAGCAGTCGGTGGAGTGAGAATTGGCAGGGGAAACCTAAGCACTCCAAGAAAACCTGCACCAGTGCTACTTTGTCCACCACAAATCCCACATGACTTGACCTGGGCTTCAACCCGGGCTGCCATGGTGGAAAGCTGGCATTCAATCGCCTGATACATGGCATGGCCTTAAAGTCCAAGTTAAATTCTTCTCAGTAGTTTCACCAAAACCAAATCAACTATAGTGAACATGATAATTTTTCCTGACACTGTTAACCCTTCTGTACTCTCAAGGATATCTACTTGGATCTCAGTAATGTTTCTAATTTGGTTTTGTATTCTTTGCTTAGATATTCTATGTAGTTATGACCTGTCTACTGATTATGTAGTTACCTAACCAACAGACTATTTTATGTTAATTCTTCTAGCCTTTCCTTTGCCTCCCAGTGCACTATCTGGTGTTTCAAAAGGTTCTGTCTTGGGACCTTCCTCCATGATTTCATCACCCCAATACCATTTAATGAAATACACAAATAATTATGTTCCTCCAGACTACTACTACTTCCCCTCACTTAGGTTCAATTCTCATCACTACCATGTTCTCTAGGGGGCACACAGTAGTGTAGTTGGTTGAGGCACTATGCTACAAGCCGGGAGGTCTTGGGTTCAAGTCCCGATGAGGTCACTGGATTTTTTTCAATTGACCTAATCCTTCCAGCCGCACTATGGCCCTGGGGTCGACTCAGCCTCTAACAGAAATGAGTACTAGGAATTAATTAAAGAATTTTCCTTGGGAGTAAAGAGTGGCTGGTGTGTAAGGCTGACAACCTTACCGCCATCTTGGAGCCGATTGTCTAGATAATGTGGGACCCTCAACAGCTCACAACCCTATGGGCCTTCACGGCCTGTTACAGGGATAGCTTTACTCTACTTACTTTACCATGTTCTCAAACATCCTCAATCTATATTCTTCTCTAAAAATGAGAGACCAAGTTTCATAACTACATAAAACAACACACAAAACTAGAATATTGCATATTTTAATCTTAACATTTTTAGACAAAAGATAAATATCTTAAACCAAATTCTAGAAACATCAGCCAGTTCAATCTGTTTTGTAATTTTTTGTTAGTGTATTTTTGATCAGTTGCAGTCACTTCCAAATATTGAAACTTACCGGAGTTTTTAATGTTTTATTTGTCAGGTGTGAAAAAGTGAGGAACTGTCTTTATGACAGGGACAATTCCATAGTTCATATGAGAATTTTAAAGCCATTAATTTTGCTAACTTACATCACTATACACACTCACTGTGTAATCTGAGGTTAAGCATATTTTTGGATATGATGATAATTTATCTTAGTGTCTTGCTAATCTTACATGTTTTGAGCAACGTCCTATTTCTATCTCCAGGTTTATTTAGAGCTAGTTTCTTAGACATGAGAAAGTAAGAACAAGGTCTACTGAAAACATTTAAAAAAACAAAGAAAGTGTCAAATGTTTCACGAATTTTATATCAGGCATATGGCATACTCATACACATATAATTTTGACAAGGGGTCTAATGTACTAATTTTGTGTATAATATTAGAAATATTGCCCAAGAACAAACAAGGAAAGCCCTTTAGTTTTATCATCAAATATAACCTTCAAGAAACCTTCAATATTTTATATCCTACTATTTCCCCATGCTTTATCTAACCACTGTTAGCATTTCTCACATTTTTATAACTTGACACTCTTAGATATCCTGGACTAATGGATTTCACTGAAGATCTTCCTGTGAGTTTACAGCGGTTTAAATTAGCTGGTAAAATTTTCCTGATTTTGTCATAAAAATGATTTAAAATATAATTGTACACTACCTATTCATAAAATTCCCAACTGCCTGACAAATACTGGTCCAGTTTACTTTAGGTGCATACAGTACAGTGTCATAACTTCACTTACTTGATAAGCATTACCCATCAGGTACTGTGACTGGACTGCATGTGAAAGTCCTAGAGACACCTGTTCTTCAGGCATCATTGAAATGCCATTGTCCAAATCAGTTGAATCAGGTGGCCTAGGAGGTGGAGACAGTGTTGGTAGGGGTGGATATGAAGTAGCTCCAGGGGGAGGTGGAGGTGGGGCCATGCCTGATAATGTTTGGTAATGACCAGAAGTTGAGGTGGACACTGGAGGTATGTGTGGTCTTGCTACTACGTATGGTAATTCTGGAGGGTCAACTCCAGGTGGAAGCGGTTCACCATGTTCGTTCTCAAGTCGTGGCAGAGGTGGAGGGGAAGATGGAAGGGGCGGAGTGCTAGGTGGTAAAGGAGGAAGATCTGAAGGTGGCGGTGGTGGTGGTGTTAAGGGTGGTGGTGGTGGCGGTGGTGGGGGAGCAGTAGGGGGAGGAGGAGGGAGAGGAGGCAATGGTGGGAGTACTGGATTACTAGTAGGACTGGATGCAGTTGGTGAAAAAAGAGAAGGATCAAAGTTGCTGCTTACACCAGCTGAAAAGAAATTTAATAAAAGTATCCTTGAGTTTAAATGAAAAATTAAATAAATTTGTAAATATAGTTTTATATATACCAACAAATCCTGGGTGCAAAGTATTTCCTGAACATTATTCTGAAGTTGTACTAAATTTCTCTTTAAAAATTTGCAGCTAGTACTTGTGATTTTGTCATGCACATTGCAGACTCAGCCAATGGTAGGACTCCATGTCATTCTGTACAAACTACATCAACTAACAAGTAGTATGGAATGTTATATATATGCTGGAGTCTTCCATGGATATTTGTTTACATAAATAGTTAACATGAATAAATAATTTATAATCTACGGAAGTCCTCTACTTTACAATCATACGAGGGTTGGAACTTTAATAGTGGCAAGTATTTATTTACAACTGATACAAAATAACTGCATGTTTTGAAGTTTTACTGTTATTCAATGTAGTCATGAGAATTGTGTACAACCCTTTGCCAGCAATGTGGAAGTCGTAGGATACCTTTAGCAAAGTCTGTTGTGGTGATAGTTTGAATGGAGCGGTCTATTGCCTGTAGAACCTCTGGAACAGTTCTGAAGCAAATGCCACGAAGTGGTTCCTTCATCTTAGGAATCAAGTCAAAGTCACAAGGGCTTAAGTCCGGGGAGTATGGTGGATGGTACAGCACTTCGAAGCACCATCGATTGAACAAATCAGCCACAGCTTGCGCTGCATGCGGTCGAGCATTGTCCTGCAAAATGATGGGTGGGTTCTGCAGAAAGTGTTGCCGCTTCTTTCTCAAAGCTGGTCACAGGTTGTTTTCCAAAAATGAACAGTAATACTGCGCACTGACGGTCTGCTGTCGGGGAATGGTACGTGTTAGGATAACACCATCACAGTTGTACACGAGAATCACCATAACTTTCACACTGCTGGGGTTCTGATGAACTTTCGATTTTCGTGGTGACCTGTAATGACGCCATTCGTTCGATTGGTGTTTCATTTGTGGCTTGTATGATTTGGCCCATGTCTCATCCAGCATAAGAAAGCCTCTCCTTCGTGCTCATAGCGCTCCAAGTGGTTACGAGCGGCTTCGTAATGTAGCCATTTCTGTATTACCATCAAATCATGCGGAACCCCTCGTGATGCAATTTTTCTCATGCCCCAGCGTTCCTTCAGAATGTGAAGCACAGTCGTATGCGCTAATCCTGTCTCTCAGGGCAGCTCACGAATCATATGATGTTGATCACTCTCCCGTAATACGGAAAGGGCATACACTTCTTCTTCACTGACACTAGGACGACCTGGCTGACGCATGTCTGCCACATTTTGACGTCCCTCGTTGAAGGTTTTTACTCGCCTTGCCACTGTTCAGTAAGGCAATGCAGATTCCGTGCAAGCATCCTGAAGACCCTGATGACACCGTCATGTTGTACAGCCTCTGGCACATTCAATATTTATCCAACTCCATTGTTCCTGTTTCGAAAACATCGTGACAACACTACATTAGACCGCCAGCTAACATGAGGCTCTGTTCTTCTCGTCACTGCACATGCGTGTGATGTGGGAAGGGAGAGTCCATTTTCTCTGAGGTAAGGTATGTATGTAAGTAACGTGTGGTATAAGTGACATTATTTGGTTCCGTTGCATGGTGTCTGTACAGCAGTGTTGCCATTATTAAAGTTCCAACCCTCGTATTAATATTTTTGTACTCATCATATGTGTTATAATGTCATAACTGAATAAATCACAACATCCTAATATCACCCAACAAATTATGGACCTAAAGAATGTAATTCTATGTGTATGTATCATGAAGTCAAAGCCTGTTGAATTTTATCATGTATTATATACTGATGAACAATATAGAACTTGCAGAGGTAATTATGGCTTATTTTGACACAATGAGAAATTTCTGTGAGAATGATTTATATCTACATGGTTATAATCACCAATCTACCAATCACGAAGGGAACACATTATCTTCTTAACAATACTTCCGGTATAGACAGTGGACTATATTTTAAGCCAACCACTGGAGTACCAAGTGTATATACATTAGCAGCAATGACAAAGAGTGGAGGTCGTATAATTCTAAACACTGCATTCAAGCTGAGTTCAATTATGTGCCCTTGTCAATACCCAATATGAAAATCTCTTGTCCTACTAAGATGCACCCATAACATGAAAGCAAACATTACAGCCTCAGACATAGCTAATTTCAAATTCTTTGTAGCGTCTGGTGTGAACATTATTTTTATAAACTTAAATTATATTTTATTAAAGCTCTTGTAAAATATTTACATTTCCTACTACAACTCTACATGCTTGCTGTGCTTCATAGGAACAGCCAAAACCAAAGGTGGCAAAATTAATTAAATGTGAGGTACTAAGAGGATGTTTAAATATTTATATTTAAATTCTGCTTCTGCTAGTATAAAACCGTAGTCATTCAGTCTTCCCTCAGTTGTCTGACTGGACTATTTGACTAAGCACAATTCTGACACAGCATGGAGCCCCCACTTAACATTCCTTAATTTAAGGTTTTCCCTCACTTAAGGTTCAAATCCCAAACCATGCCCTCAATGTTAAATTACCCCAATTTTAGATTTTCCTCAGTTTAACGTTCCAAATACAATGGTCTGAAATGAAATATTTAATCAGGCTTTCATTCCACTGCAAGCAATTCTATTATAAAATACTTATTTTTTAAATGAAAAGAAAACTATGACAATGAAAAACCAATCTGTTGACATGCTGTATTTAGGGGGAGGGGGGATCTGCATCAAAAATGTATTTTCTATTGTTCTACCTATAATACCAAGATGTACATGATATGTTAGAAAGCAGTCTCGCATGCCTGCGAACGGACATTTAATTTTGCTATTTCAATTAAACACATGATTATCAAATAAAGAGATTTTGGGACAGATATGAATAATGTATTAGGAAAGTGCTAGGAAAAAGAGATTAGGGCCACATCTAGGTATTCATCTGAAGAGACTGAGGGGCACAAGAGTGAAGACTGAGAATATATCATTCCCAAGCCAAGATCTGAATACAGTCCAGGTGTACTATTACTGTATTAAACCTGTACTACTTCATGCTCTAATTGTGCAGTTGTGTGGTGTCATATATGGAGTGTAATTAGCTTTGTTACAGCAGCATTTTATGTGCAATAAAATCAACTCAAGGCCAAGACAGTAAACAAATTCGAAGAATATGTGTACTTCGAAATACACTACTATTCTCTTGTTTATATTCTAAGAAATTACATTCTAGATACCTGCTGACTCTTTCGTTGTGTCAGAACTTGTTGAAGTAACTTCTCCGTCCATTTTTCTCTTTTTCCTGCGGTGGAATGAACCTGCTTCTGATTTATCATCTCCATGTTTTGATGAATTCTTCTCCCTGTAAGAAGATATCTGTGGAGGTGGTGGTGGACTCGGCTCTGACTGTTGCGAGATGACAGGTGGTGGTGGTGGGGTCTTGGGTGTTGTGTCATCCTCTACCGATGGAGACATCGGAGGTGGTGGTGGTGTGGTGCAGAGTTCCATAGCTTCTCCACCACCACACACATCTTCTTCTGGCTGTGACGGATACTCCCACTGTGTTTCTTCACTCACAGTGTTGCGATAGTAATATCGCTTGTGTGTCCTATGCGCACCACAGTGGCAAGGAGAGAACAAGAGAAAAGGGCCTGATATAACAAATTGTAATTGTTTTGTTAAAGTCCCATAAATAATACATTCAATCAGTAACACTAACATATATTTTGGGTTACAATAACCCAGGGTTAACAGATAAGGACTTCTCCCATTAATACGCTTTAGGTATTTACAGTGTAACTCCAATTCAGCTTCTCTGCAAGTTGCATTTATTTTCTAAGTCTTATAAGAAAACTTTATACAATGGACTAGTTATATGAATTTAGGTGTTATTCCCTGAGGGTGATTATGTTTCCATTTAATGTTTAAAAACAGACAGCTGGAATACAACAAGTCACCAAAACAAACTGTATATTGCAAGGAACAAAATGCAATTCATGTAGTCAAACTGAGATGTTTCTAGAAGAGTTTGTGATTCACAAAGACAAACAGAGGTGTTGCTGGCAACAAAATGATTCATCAAGACAAAAACGAAGTGTTGTTAGGAGTGAAACATGATCATCAAAATGAACTGAAGCATTTGGAAACAAAACATAATTCACTAAGATGAATCAAAGTGTGGCTGGAATAAAGCAACCCATTAAGACTGCATATTGCTGAGAACAAGATTCTGATGGGTCGCTGGGAGAAACCACAATTCACCAAGACAAACTGAGGTACTGCTGAAATAAAACAATTCACTAAGTCTGTGTGTTGATGGGAGCAAACACAATTTACCAAGACAAACTGAGACAGGGTTGGAAGCAAATTGCCAAGTTAAGTGAGGTGCTGTAAGGAATAAAACAGGGCATACATAACATTTATATTGTACATGTAAGTTACGTTTCAATTTATTTGTTCTGGCTAATGTTTTCTTTAACTTTACTTGTTATTATGGATGCAAGAGAAATTATTTATTGTGGCATGTATCATGAAATGCTACATTTCTGTTTTATGATGAAAGCTCTTTTGCAGAAACACTCTAAATGGAAGTTGCACTGTAACAGGCAAGTCATTACCTGTGAGCCAACTGTTCTCGTGAAGAAATAATAAACCCAACAACCATACAGAACAGATCCATACAGTAAGTACTGGAGGAACACATTCTGTGTAGGCAGTTACTAGGTTTATTGCACACTATTTTCCAGTGTGATGTGTTGATTGTACAGCACAGCCTACAGAGTTGAAAGGCACAATTTCTCTGAGATGATGAAGCTTAGGTGGACTGATGGCAACAACCAACCAAGCTGTATCATCTGATTCTGGTTACAAAATGGACCAGTCTGCAGTCTTCTTTAAACTTATATTTGGTCCAAAATAGTCTCAATCATTACCTTCCTTTAGCAAATCAATATTGAAGCAATGTGTATCAAGTTTCCTTGAGCCTATGTCCAAGACGTCAGTGATTTGTTTAAGGAAAATACAAAGCTTATTAGATTTTGTCTTGAAGACAATCCTAACAAATTACAATGTCTGTTTCATTATAATATAAATTTCCTTCTCAAGCTTTCATATATATATATATCACACAATGGTTACACAAGATTGGACTCCTACAGGATCTGCAGTATGAGCAGCATCACAAGAGCATCAGATGACCCTTACATAAAAATGTCGATATCATAGAGCATCACGTTGCTTTAATTCTAAAACAAAAATAATGAAGTTTACACATAGAGATACTGGGTTTTCAGACTTTGTCCATCATCTGGATTCTAAATAACTAAGAAAAAACACAACGTTTCGGAAACTGGATCTGTTTCCGTCCTCACGTGAGGGAAGACACCTACTCTGCTGGGTCCCTTAGAAAGAGCTAGCCTCAATCACTGGGCCAGTGATTGAGGCTAGCTCAATTTAGAATCCGGACGATGGACAAAGTCCAAAAACCCAGTATCTCTGTGCGTTATACACCATCATCAGAAACCTACAGTATCTAAGTTTACATATGCTCAGCATTTATTCTGGGTATGTTTGCAAAACTTAACGCGACAACAAAATTATAATTTCTATAAGAAAATGGTCCCTTAGGATTAAAATCTGTGGGTAAGCCTTGATTTGAAATTCTCAAATCTATACTAAATATTATGCCTGTTTTCTTTTTATGTTACTTTTAAACCATCTCACTTTCACTGGCTGCAACAAGTGATTTATATTTAAGTGCATAAAGTGAAGAATCATGGGGAGGTTATATCTACTATGCATCCAGCCACCTCGCTGTTTCATCCCTAAAACCACATTTCAATTAAATTTAGGGTGGAAGGTACACTTAAAACCTGCTGAGTGACTTTAATTTTGAATTGAATTGTACAAAATATCTCATCCCCCACATACAAACAGAATACTGGTATCAGATTTCATTACTATTTATAATATTTCACACAAAACATTTTTTCATATGCTATATATTTTCAACAATACAAGGATTAATTATTTATGACAATGCAGTATAAAATTCTTACTGATGATTATGTCTGTCAATATGTCTGTGGTAAATGGGCATTAACATCAATTAGAGATGCAGAATCAGAGAGTGACTTTGAAAAATGTGTGTATACTTTACAGGAGTGCAACTCTCTCCTTGTGAACAGAAGATAAAGAGAATGCAAGCTGGGCAGCAGAGAAAGGAGAAACATTTAGATGGAACAAAACACTTCATTCCTGTAGTGTCTATCTTAATATCATCAGGAAAATTAAAAAAAGTGCATGAAATATCAAATGCCACCTTCTATCATCAGTGTGTCACAACTGAATTCTTGATTACACTTGATAATATTCAATTTAGTTCGGCAAAATGTATGAGTAAGATCAAATTTTATATTACTCTGATCTAAGTATCTTGTAGGGCATGTTTGAGCCCTCAGAAAATGCACATAAAACATATTGTGGCATGTTTGCTGAAAGCCAGAACAGTTTAGTCAGAAAATATGTCTGTTACTAGGTTACGACATAGTAAACACTGTGTCAGTGTTGGCTGTAACATAACTCTAACTTTGAGCTAACAGAAGTCAAGTAGAAGTCGAGTTGGGAGTGGTCAGATGTTTGTGGGTGAGGTGAAAGTGTGTACTAGCCAGTGCTAGCCACTGGAGGCCAATTGCAGCTAGAAGTCAATGGTGAGGGGTTGTGGCCATGAGAAGTAGATGTGAGATATTTGCCAGTCAGCGAGGTGAAGTTGGAACCTGAGGAACCTACAGTTTCTGGAGCTGTTACCAGGTACAACCAGTGAAGACAGAGCAGACTAAGAAGACTTAGTGCGTGCTACAGGAAACTGTAGTGTGTGTGAATTAGTGGTAGCACTGTAATTAATTGCAGTTACAAGTTTCAAGAGTTCAATAAATCTGATTACCAGTCCAAACCTCATGTCTAATCACTAACATGGGACAATATTTTAAAATTCCAAATTCATACGAAACCTGTATGATTACATTTCACTGTTTCAAAACAAAGTTTCCGTCACCTTTCCAGTGAACACTAGGGTATATCTGTGAAAGGTTAAAACATTAAAGTCTATTTGCTCCAGCATTATTATATAACATAATTTCATGCACAAAACCTGATTTTATAAAATACTGAAATGTATAAACATTAAATTTCTACCTTCCTTAAGTCCAAAAATAAAATCTGACTTGCAGACCCCCCTCCCAAACTGATGTGTGGTAACAATGTATAGAGTAAAAATGCCTAAAAATTTTCATGCATGCATGCACAACCTTTATGAACATAACATCATTTATGACTACACTGCATAAATTAAGTGTCCTTTACTAACACAAAATGCTGCAATTCTCAAGATTTGAGAATTCTATGGGCAGTTTATGAGTGCCCTTATTATTTCATGCCTATGTCATAAATAATACTAAGGACATGAAAAAATGCTGCAAATTTACATGTATATCACATGGTGCACTGAATTTTGAAAGGAACTGTACTGAAGTTCAGACAAACTCTTTGAGTAAGCTTATGCATAATTATTTGAATCTATGCGCTGACATAGTGGTATATGGTTTAATAAACTGAACTATGACAGAATCCATTTAGAAGACCAATCTTGCACACTGATTATATTAAAGGATAGAAAGCATGGTTACTTTACTAAATTCCATTACTTATACTAGAAAGCAATGCTATACTGACTTACAGAACAAAAGAAGGGCAATGACTGGTAAATTAAAACTAACCAATTGGAAGTCAGTAAAATTTGTAGTATATGTAGAGCACAGCAATCTGAAATGCTTTCAGCTATAACAATAATGCTGTCAAAATGTATACTCGAGTCAAACGTGTTCATTATATATATGAAGATGTATAACACATAAGCATTATCCCCCCCAAATGTCCAAAGCAATATTCCATATTCCAAGAAAAGAGGATACTGCTCTTGTAGATGTTCTTTGTTTCAGAAAATAATCTAGAAAAGCATTCTCAAATGAAGAGCACTGTTATGTGCCCAGAAACCTACCATATTCATTTTGTGTGTCTTCTTCAAAATTTCTGAAAAGCACAACGTTACTAAGAATCACATGTTCTATTAATCAACCGACTACCTGACTCCATGGACATTAGCCCTTCTTGAAAAGCCGCCGCCTGTGCAGCTACTCAAGAATTTCCCCACATTTTATGAAAACCGAAGGTTCATTACTGTGTTCACAAATGCCATATCCTGAGTCAGATCAGTCCAGTCCATACCATCCCTTCCTATCTCTCTAAAATCCATTTTAATATTATCCACCGATGTCTTGGTCTTCCTAATGCTCTCTTTGCCTCGGAATTTCCCAACATTATCCTATATGCATTCCTCTTCTTCTCCAATCATGCTACATGCCATTCCCATCTTATCCTCCCTGACTTGATCATTCTAATTATACGTGGCAAAGAGTACAAGTTATGATGCTCCTCATTATGCAGTTTTCTCCAACCTCCTGTCACCTCATCCTTCTTTGGTCAAAATATTCTCCTCAGTGCCCCACTCTCAAACACCTTCATGCTCTGTTCCTCCCTTAGTCAGAGATCAAGTTTCACACCCATACAGAACCACAGGCAAAATTATAGTTTTTGTATATTCTAATTATTACGTTTTTAGGCAGCAGACAAGACAAAAGGTTCTTGACTAAATGGTAGCAAGCATTACATGAATTCAGTCTCCTCTTAATTTCCTCCTGAATCAAATTTTGATTGTTACTGTTGTTCCAAAATATTTGAACTGAGCCACATTTTCAAAGGAACTGTTAGCTACCTCCATGTCATGATTCTGACCTGCATTCTGGTGATGATCCAGCAACAATTACTTAGTTTTCTCTGCATTTACTTCTAGACCAACCTCTTTACTTGCATCAATTAGATTTTTTTTTTCTGTATGGTATTTGTGTTATCTTCCGACAGACTTCCATCAGGAGTATAGGCCAGAGGCTGAGCGTCTCATTCAATTTCAGTCCAACCTGGTTTTACTTGTCATTAGAAAAAGATGGGAAATTCAAAGTTATTTCATGTAAGTGCTATTACTATATTCTAATATAGTATTACAATTGTCAAGCAATGTAGCTTAATAAATATACTTCGGATAAACTATGGGCCATAGAAATCAGTACTCCTGTGGGTTAATATTTCTTCAAAAGCAATCCCTCTTTACATGAACTCTAACCCATCTTTTTGTTTTATATGCAACTTTTACTAAAATAACAATCATCATTGTTAATCCAAAAGCATTTCATGTAGTAACCAGCCTGTTTGTTATACACACACAGTTCAGAAAAAGATAGCACAGTTCAGGGGAGAGAAATCTTCTGTCCGGTGTAATGAGATGTTACATCAAATTGACAATGCAGGAGAACTTCCACGATGATTCGACATCTTTAAGCTGTTCTGCCAATGATACCTTGTTCTTGCCACTTTAACACTTGATATTCTAATGCTGGATGTTTCAAAGCAACATCTAGCATTTTAATTATATATTAATGAACATTCTATCAAAACAATGGAAGGAGCAAGATACCATATGGCTGGATGGCCGCCAAAGTGTGCAGATGTTTCGTTTCCGTGAGGAATTCCTGTTGAAGAAGACCAGAGCATAAATCTTGAAGATACACACAATTTATGTAAACACTATATCCAAAGCACTGTTGTTCGATGCTTTACAAATACTGACAGCACCGTTTTAATATTTGTTACTTTTTATGAGATATTAATTTGGTTTAGCATAGTTTAATTGAAACCAACAGTGAGAGAAAAATAATTTTGAAAACTTTATTCATGTAATACGTATTAGAGACGAAGAAATGAGCTAAATATCCTCACCTCTTTAATGTACTGTACCCTTGTTTCCAGATGGTTTGTTGACAGTGCAGGGTTGTGGTGGTGTCCTCTGTGATGCCTTCTCCAGTCCATCCAAGTAAGAGATCGCTTGATGGAAACTCGCCTCTTGTAATCCAGCATCAGCATACAACTTTTATCTCATTTACCTTTCTATGGGTTTGTTCAGTCCCAAGTTACTTTCATCAGTCCTCTCCACAATACACAAGACCACATTTACAAAGTAACTGAAAAATTCTTTCCTAGGCAAGAATCTATCGTATCATTATCCATTTGACATGAGCAGTGTCCATGAAGCTGCAGGGATTGTATTGCATGGGGAGACAGACAGGTACAGCGGCTTTTATCGGGTATGTGCTATTAAATTGGATACTGTACCTATCCCATTCACACGCCCAGCCATCAGGTGCGGCCGCCTGTTCAAGCTGTGCAAGCTCCGCCCCTGTGTCAGCCAGCCAGTTGGACAGGTAAAGCTGTGATAAGGCACCAGCATGCCAAGCTGATGTCAATGTCTGTAAAATCATCAAATATGTATGATTTCAGGTTTCCATGGCGATAGGCATTCATATTTAAGCACCAGTGTTTCTGAGCAACATGCTGAAATGAGTGTGGAAAGGATATGGTCAGATATACATACAAGGTGAGCAGCCTCTGTAGTCTAGGGGTAACATTCCCACCTCGTGACTCAAGGTACGTGGGTTCAAACCCGGCGGAGGTCATGGAATTTTTAAGGGCAGAAAAATTCAGGGAACAAGTCCTCCGGGAGGGACTTTAAGCTGTGGGTCCTGTGTCATAGCTTTACGGCATGTAAAAGAACCTCATGTCCCAAGGGGACCACTGAGCCAAATTCAGGACATTTCCCGCCCAACAGTAGTCTCTAACACATCTGGTAGATGGAAGCATCAAGATACTGCTCAGCCAGTAGAGGCCGAACTTGCTGGCTGAGTCGGGACTGATGGCACACACCAGTACTGGTAGAATATCATAGGGGGACGCACAATGGCCCAACAGTTGGTCTAAGTGCATGGGGAAACCCACCCTCTCCAATACAATACAATACATACAAGGTGCTAAGAAGGTCCAGAGGAGGAGAAGAGATACAAAGCCTGGCTCAGTCTAAGAGGAAGGTGAACAGGAACTGTGAGGGCAATAGGAGGCCCACATTTCCTGATCGCCATTCCTACTGGCGTGGATCAGGATCACAATTCTGTGTTCCTAATGCAACGTAATTATTTGAATATCTGGTAAAGAAAGCTTAACTTCTGCTACAGCATTACTCTGTTTCATTAATGTAGAATATATCAATGTACATACCTCCATTTGGACAGTAATGACATGCTGTTCATCTGCACACAATTGCCACACCCTTTATAATCAATGACTCTTATAGTACTTTTGTAAGACATATCCAGGTTCGACCTTACCTCAATCTGAATGGCCATGATTTGTACAGGAGACACAGGCTGTTTCCCTTCCCCCAGAAAGTTCACCTTTTCTGTTATAAGATGTGCAAGTTCTTCAATATGTTGGTAGGCTTCAAGCTCTTCCTTGCTATATGCTGAAAATTTGACAGAAAGACCAGATATGAATAACACGGTGAGAAATAAAACTGATTTACATATCTAATGGCTGCTATCAGATTTTGAACCTGTACCAAACACAAAAGTTCACATGCTAAGATGATTCCTTACTTTTAAGGGACAAAATGGATCACGAAAGTAATTAACATTTAACCCAAATGCAGTTCTATGCATGCTACTGTTTTTCTCTAAATGTTACCAATCTCCATTTCAACATGAAATTCCTGAAGATACACCAACAACTGATATAGTGGTAAATGACTATGTCTAAACATGGATACTAAAAGCAAAGCATTTCCACTTCATGAAATAAATGTGGAATCATGGGAAAAGCCCTCATTAAATAACTGGAATTGGGAAAGGATTCTGGAATTCCCCATCATCAACAAACAGAAGTACGTATGAGGAAGAACAAAAAAACACACAGTAAATACTTATTGCAGACATATATATATAGCAGCTTGTTTCGGATATATATACGAGGGGGTACCCAAAAGAAACCGAACTTATTTTTTTTTAAACTTATTTATTCAAATTTTAAGCACAAACCTTCAATCCCCTTCAAAGTACTCTCCACTTACACTAATACACTTGTCTAGTCTTTTATTCCATTTTTCAAAACACTGTCTAAATTCATCTTTTGAGATGCTTGACAGCGCCTCCGTCGTTTTTTCCTTTCATGTCTCTTTTCATTCAAGGAAACAAAAAAAAGTCGCACGGGGCAAGGTCGGGTGAGTATGGAGGGTGAGGAACAGGGGTCATACCATTTTTGGTCAAGAATATCGTATATATACCATAAAGAAAAACACACAAACTTTAATTGACGTAAGTAAAGAGGTTGGTCTAGAAGTAAACACAGAGAAAACTAAGTGTATGCTGCCTCGTCACCAAAATGCAGGGCAAAATCATGACATAAAGATAGGAAACAGATGTTTTGAAAATGTGGCACAGTTCAGATATTTGGGAACAACGATAACAGATCGAAACCTGATTCAGGAGGAAATTTAAGAGGAGACTGAACTCGGGTAATGCTTGCTACCATTCAGTCCAGAACCTTTTGTCTTCTCGTCTGTTGTCCAAAAACATAATAATGAGAATATACAAAACTATAATTTTGCCTGTGGTTCTGTATGGGTGTGAAACTTGGTCTTTGACATTAAGGGAGGAACATAGACTGAGGGTGTTTGAGAACAGGGCGTTGAGGAGAATATTTGGACCAAAGAGAGATGAAATCACAGGAGGTTGGAGAAAACTGCATAATGAGGAGCTTCATAACTTGTACTCTTCTCCAAGTATAATTAGAGTGATCAAGTCGAGAAGGATGAGGTGGGCAGGTCATGTAGCACGAATGGGGGAGACGAGGAATGCGTATAGGATATTGGTGGGAAAGCCAGAAGGAAGGAGACCACAGGGAAGACCAAGGCATAGGTGGGTGGACAATATTAGAACGGATCTTAAAGAGATAGGATGGGATGGTATGGATTGGATAGATCTGGCTCAGGATAGGGACCAATGGAGGGCTCTTGTGAACACGGTGATGAACCTTCGGGTACCATAAAATGCTGGGAAATTCTAGAGTAGCTGCAGAATTTGAGGCTCCTCAAGAAGGGCTCAGCTCCATGAGTGAGTGAGTAAGTAAGTATATATATATATGAAGTGTCACAATAAATAATATTTGACATGCCTGATAATAGTTGTGCTGAGTTCTTTCATATTATGACACTGATGCTGTTCAAAATACAGTAAACTTCCATCATCTGGTATCCAAGCCTCCAGAATTCTTACCCAACTGGCAAAAATTTTAAAGATGATTTAACATGATTATAAAATTACTTGAAACCAAATGCGAAATGAGCATATGGTCACCTGCCATGTGGTAGTTCTTCCAGCTTCCACTAGCAGCACTACCCATTGTCTTCCCTCATGCAGGCGTTGATTAGAGTTGAGGCAAGTTGAATTTGTGATCACAATACAACATAAATACATGAAAACCTTCACCTATCAATCCTCTGTGTCACCTAGGAAGACTCCCACATAACAACTACTGTGGCAAGTTGTTCTGACTTCATTCTGGGTTCCTGTAAGAGATTTTCTCATGCAACTGGCAGACCCCATTTCCCATAATTGTCAGATAACAGGGAGTTTACTGTACCTGATATTCAGGAAAGCATTACAAACAATGGGTGAACTGCCTAACCATCACTGTACTATAGATTCCAGCACTGAAATACACTGATATAATAACAGGAAATTGAGATAATTTGTGATGAAAAGGTAACATATTTGAAACATTACATTCTAAAACATATAGAAAATAAGGTATGTATTTTACAAATTTCTGACCTCCCCATGAATATGATCTTCCTCCTCTGCATTTTGGACATTCTTGGACACCTGCTCTTCTGGCTTAGGTAAATTTATTGTTTCTGCTTTAATAAAATTGATAATGCCCTTCTTTTGCTGAGACAGTGGCTTCCCAGTATCAGCGCTGGTACTTCGGTCTGCTGGAAATGATTCTGTCATGTCTTCAAATCCAACAGACTGGAAACCAAAGCCCCTCCTTTCACCTGACGCTGGATCTGAGTTATAGTATGTCCAAGTGGAATAATTCACGGTTGAAGACGCTGCCGTGGTTGTTGCTGTTGTTGTAGTTGAAGGTTGACCAGTTTTAACTTCAGAACATGTAGCTGCAGTGGGTGTACTGTATTCTGTAGATGTGGGTGGTTTAGGCACACTGGTGGATGGAAATATGGCACCAATTTCTAGACGTATCTTACGTTTATAAGCCTTACTGCTTGTTGTGGAGTCTGGAAGATTCGATTCTAAACCTGTACCAGTCACAGCACTTGATACATGTTCACTTGAAACCTGTGGCTTGGTGCATTCTGTTGATGCTGGAGCAACACTATCTGCATTAATTGCAGGAAACAAAGATCCTCCAAACTCAGAACTTTTAGATGATGATGGAATGCTCTCATTAGGTCCACTTATGCTAGTCTCCTCCACTTCTATGTCACTAGCAGCTACTGCACTACTTACTGAAGCAACACTTTTAACATCTTTTTCTTTTGAACTCCCTGCTTGTGCATCATAGTCCATTATCGGGAAAAGACTAGCTGAATTGCTTCCTGGCTGTACTAATGGTAATTTCTTTATCTTTACAGGTTTGTTCTTTTTTGACTGCCAGTTATTTGATGACTCTTCCTCTTGGTCTGAGCCATCTCCATAACCAGCAATTAAGGCAAATGAAGTAGGTTTTGGACTGTGCTCTGCACTGGAACTAGAGGCTTGTTTTGTTTTCCTTTTATTGGTAATACTATTTTCCTCTCCTTTATTATTACTATTTTGGTAGTCAGGTGGAAGTTCACGTTCAATCTGTGCTATAACATCTTCAGCTACACATGGTGATGCCGCTTCTGTTGCAGACTGGTCAATTAGGTGCCGAATTTCATCAGGAATCTCACCACCCAGCTCCTTTAAGACACGAGCCTGGCTTCGTAACCGTGATAAAATAACACCCTCATCAGTTTCCCCACTTTCATCACTCTCTTCTTCAGTTGTTGGTGGTAGCGGACTTGTGTTATCAGAACCCTGAGTTCCTAACTCATCCATCAACTCTGCTGCCTCCATTTTTAAACGACTGACTGTCCAGCCTGCTGAATTGGCAACACTTGATTCACATTCTGCAACACTGTTATCTGGTTTTATTAAAACTTCTGCTTCATCTGTTACCGCTTTGTCTTCACTTGAATCTGGGGCTGAATATCCACCTTCTTCATGGTCAGTCTTTAAACTATCAGCCTTCTGTACCTGTGGCTCTTCAACATCATGAACCTCCATTTCCTCTCCTGGGGGACCCATGTCTGGCACACTGTTAGAGACTAATGATGATGTACCAGAGGTCACATTATCTGAATTTAATATGAGCTCTTCCCCATTGTTAAATACAAGCTGTGAGCCTGATGAAGCCACAGTTTCTGAATCAGCCTGTCCCTCAGTTTGTGAATTCATATTACATTCTACAGGTTGTAACTGTGGTCCTACTACGAACTGAGATTCTGTTGGCAGCTCAGGACCCATTGATGGATGTCCACAGGGTCCTGTTGCATAGCCAGCTGCTTTTGATGTGCTCTGTGTTTTTGTCTTACTAAATGTGCCTTTTTTCTTTTTGGCTGGCAGTGCAACTTCCTCGTCTTCTGATTCTTCCTCAGAAGCTGGTCCATAAGATGTTATCATTTCAATTCTCCTGCACAAAACAATATATCAGATAATTTTCAGTAATAATTATAAAGCAGTCACAGGTTGGTAACCTGCTCAAGTTAAGAAAAAAGTTACTCATAATGCTCAAAGATGCTTCATGTTTGAAAACTGAGGGGGCTAACAATCTCAGACATAGCACATGATGATAACTATAAAGCAATCTTCTATTTCATAACATACAGTTTCAAAGATGATGTTATTTACAATATCAAAAAATAAAACTACACTGTATTTGGAAGAAAGCAGTCTTCTGGGATGTGGCGTCGTGTAGATATTGTGTTAACATATGTTTAGAAGGAACATATCGCCTCCATCTTTCGGGTAGAAGAAAAAAGAAGATAATCCATGGGTGAGCAACCAGCGTCAGCAGATGCTAACAGACTAATGTTGAGCTGAACTGTATAAGAGCAGGAAGAGAAAGGAGAGAGGCTACATGGGAAATCAGTACTTTACTGAAGGCAATCTTTTCTTTTCCTTAGATATACAGCATGTTCCTTGACAGATTTTAATATGAAATCATAAAACATGTTTCAAAGGCACAAACTAGGATACGACTGACTATTACAGAGTAAAGACATTAAAATTAATCCTCATGTAAAGCTCATGCCTCCAGTTACATGGAAATTGAATTTTGCCACATTACAGCAATATCATATTACTACAGAATGTTGTTTTAGAGCAAGAGTGTCAAACTCATGACATATGTGCCAAAAGCAGCCAGTCAACTGGTTTTGTGTGTCAGCAAGAATCTCATTCCATTCTCCAAAATGTGTTAAAATTCTTCTCTTTAAAAAAAAGAGAGAAAATCATGTCTGGCAGGGGACTTTACTAAATATTCAATGTAATATTTCAATTGACTTCACATGACACCCAACAGACACCTTAGAAAAGTATGGATTCAGTATCACTCCATGATTGTATGAAATATCAATACAATGTGGAAAACTTTGAGTGGGTCATTCTTAAATGTCAGCCTGATAGATCTCTTTCTCATTTACTTCAACTTTCTACTACTGAGAAAAGTGCAGATATAATGCACCTAGTCTTGTAAATAAGAATGTCTGCCCACAATGCTGACACTAAACACAATTCAGAGTGCATGTTTTTTTTTGTTCTTTCAGATGTAAATTCATTGAATTTCTCTAATTTTTGTATGCAATATTACAATATAAATGAAGCATTTAAACATATAAATAAATGTTTCTGTACTGGAAATAATGTATTTCTTTATAATGCAGCCCATGAGTGTATGTGGCTCATCAGTGGTTTGAAGCAACATTTCTTTCTAAACAGAGATCTGCCAGTAAAAAAGTTCGAAATTCCCCATTGATTCACATTGGGCTACTGCTGTTGCAGAGATGGTGGCTTCACATGTCAGTGTCTCAGGGACTTCCTGCTTAAGGGATATTTCCAGTACCACTTTGTGGAGTGAACTTACTACAAATACAGTAACACAGCAAACATGGTAGATGAAACTTAGGAATATTGCAACAAATGGAAGCAATATGTTAAAATAATTCTATACCACAGATTTTCTAAAGCTAGTTGATATTTTGACGTGCTGCCTGAAAGCCGGACTATAAGACGTCCATCACTAGTCAACGGCTAGCAACTCCTATGCAGCAAAGCCTAGGAAATCGTTGACCTAGAAATGAAAGTCTAACAGTGGGATTTCTACTGTTACAAACGAATTGCTTGAGGCAGACATGTATTCCTGTGTTCGTTGCATAGCAGCAGGAAAAACTAACCCTTCGACAAGGTTTTCCTTATTCAGTCCAAGGGCAAGATATAACAGTTCACATTTGGCAGGAGACCAGCAAGGTTGTATTCAACTAGAGCAGAAGCAAGTCTGTATTCGACTTTAGCAGGAGTGAGTTCGTGTCCGACAAGGATGGCTGAACTCTGAGCAGAGTAGAAGACACTTCACTGAGAATAGATGTGCAAGTAATTGTAAAAGTGAAGAGGAAAAGTCTGATGACGTTAAAAGTTGAAAATAATTGTATTTGTGAGTGTAAACTGTGATAGTCCAATAAATGTCTTTGCCAAATCCGAAACCCACATAATTTCTTGTCGCGTTGCCTAGCAGACATGTGACAACATTAAAAACTCAACAGTAGAAGAGACCTAGGTTCAGTGTTTAACCTTCTGCTGGTTTACTTAAATTCACTGTATCCTGACACCATGGGACCAATAAATTTAATGCCGTGTATAGTCTATGTTTTAGTACATTAAGCACAGCATGTGACCTTTTACTATGCTATTTCTATTGAATTAACCCTTCAGCGCGGTTTGCCGTACACGGTACGCCAAACTGTAAGCTTAATTTCGAAGGCCCATAAATATGGAAAGAACCATGCCAGCATGATGACGATTGCACTGGGCTGTTGTGAAAAGAATGCGCTCTCTGTTCATGTAAACATAACATTCAATTTCTTGCAGCTCTGCGAGTCAGTCTAAAAATAAATGCATGACCTCACAGTCATATCAACGAGGGACTATGATATCAACATACCACAAAGATGATATGCTTGAATAAAGCAAACAAACAAGAAACAAAGTGGTTGTTTGTGATTACAACAGAAACATGCTAGGAGTGGATCTGACGGATCAAATGCTACAGCCGTACTTGCTTGAACGAAAGAAGAGTACTAAGTGTTTCAGAAGTTATTCAAGAGGCTACTCAATGTAGTAATACATAACGCAATGGTCATATACAGGGTGTCCCAGGAGGAATGGACCAAACTTCGGGAGGGTGTTCCTTATGTTAAAGTATGCCGATATAACCCAAAACACCTATGTCCAAAGTTGAACGGTTACGGAGATAATGGCCAGAGAAGTGTCAAACTTTGACCGGTGTTACACACTTGTTGATTACAAAATACATATTAAAACTGGCAGGAATATGTGGATTCTGTAATGTTAATAATGTACGTAACATCAAACTAACTTGTGAGTGACGGAAAGCCATAAAATTGAAGTACGAAATACTCGCTCGCCATGTCATAATTGTCCTTAGGTTTCCAAGCACTATACATGACACATGACTGGCGAGCGATGACGTAATATGGCTGCGCTATAACCCGACCACATAACTGTAAACGTACATTCACAGGAAATCTCTTTTGGAATTTCGTTTCCATTATCTCATGTGGATTATTATGGAACCACGTATGCACATTTCGTAAATTATTTACACCATCCAGGGTAAAAGACGCCTCATCACTGAATAAAATGACGCTTAACAGTTCGGGATGAACTTTTTATCCAGTGGCACAAATCCATACGCTGTGCATGGTCGCCTGGTTCCAGATGTTGTACCATTTGATCATGGTAAGAATAACTCTTCATGATGTAAAGTTTGCCACACCTGAATACGTGATACGCCGATGCGAGAGGCGATTCTACGAGTGATAGACGCGGACTTCACTGAACAATATCAAGAATGTGCTCTCGTGTGTCTATCATTCGTACATCCTGCCTTTCAGAGTGCACAGAAACACTTGCAAGAGAACCAGTATCACGCAATGTCTGGTGAATTCGCGTAAATACACTTCGAGATGGAATCCTTCGATCGGGAAAACGCCTTTGGTATTCTTCAACAGCAGCACGTGCATTGCGACCGCAAAATCCACACACAAAATGCATATCACAATATTCCACGTGTGAAAACACAAGAGGCATTTCAGCAACTCATCACACAACTAATTTACCACCCATTCACGACCCCGCCGCAACGTAATCTGTAGGCTCTGGTAGGTTGCGCATGAGATCACGGCTAGTGTGACATCACCACACTCAAGTACAAACAGATAACAGTCACAGCTGACTGTCCACGGTGAGTGGACCTGCAAGAAGACCACACTTTTCTCGGGCCATTATCTCCGTAACCGTTCAACTTTGGACATAGGTGTTTTGGGTTATATCGGCATACTTTAACATAAGGAACACCCTCCCGAAGTTTGGTCCATTCCTCCTGGGACACCCTGTATTGGTGTCTCCTGAATAACAAAAACATGGACACACTAAAGTTCAGACTTTCACTAGCAAAAGGCCTCGTGGAAAAACACGGTTCTGGTGTTCCTTGTCCTGTATATGGCCATCCGTAAGTTGAGCTGCCGCCTAAAAGACTCACAGAATGACATTTCCTGGAGTGTATTCCAGCCACAGGGAAAAAAGTCAGGGCCTTATAAAAGATGTGTGGTTTGCGCAAAACATGGTAAAAGGAAAGACTCTATTTATTTGTGTAGTGCATGTGAGGCAGGGTTGTGGTTAGATGGATGTTTCAAGGAATACCATACGAAACCAACTTCTAATCCACTTGCTTCCATTGCTCAGATACAGGGCGCTCATATTATAAGGTAAGATTATAAAACCATCTTTTAAGATGATTTCAGTGAAAAATTCATAATTATATCTTATATAGTTCAAAAGTTATGATACATAATATAATTTAGAGCAAAATTTAAATGGGCAATTAAAAAATTAAAAAATAGTATTTTAAACTCCTGAACTTACTCATCTTCTGAATCACTTGCTGCATTCTTCCTTTTCCTTTTTGTTGCACTTGTTTTTGCATTGCTTTCAGTAACTGTTCCAGGCGGCTTTAACTCTGTCCTATTCTTACTGACAACACCTGTCCTTGGCGATGCCACTGATGTTGCTGCCACAGGTACTGTAAAGTGCCAAATGCATGAATATGAAAAAATATACTGATGCTATTGGAGTTGTGTTTTTTTTTGGGGGGGGTATGTAACAATGCGTTAAATTGCTAAGATTACATAGCATCAAATGATCAGTAAATAAAGAATTAGAAAGGATACAGGAGAAACTCAGTAAAGATAGTTGGGCTAAGATTTAACTTTTTAAAGCACAGTGGTTATTATATGTACCATCTGTTTTAACATTAGAAATCTCTGCATTCTGTCCACAGGCTGTATATATTCTGTATGGTACAGATATAATTTCCCTAACAGCATTAGTCAGTTGTCTTAATAATGGAGGTGCAACATTTCCTGTGAGGTATGAACTGAACTTCCAAGTATCATTTAGCAGAAATTTGTGCTTCAAAGTATTATTATTGAGAAGTGTTAATTACTTGACTGCAAATATCTTTAAAATTTTGTAATTATTTACTTTATGCCTCTTGTTCAGATTATGTTTTGACATAATTGCATACATACTGAAAGATGACTATACGAGGGGGGGCCCCAAAAATAACCGGAAACGACCTGTTGTGCGTGCATGCTTTGTAGTTATGAGTTGTGCTGCTAGGTGGTGTTAGCTGGGGGTCTCCCGCGACTGTTAGTGACCTGGCGTCAGTCNGCTTGCTCGGAGATGACCAAAGAGAAAACCGTGTGAATGCTTGCCGCGACTTGAAGAGTGAAGTGCAGTTTTCCCTAACAGAAAGCAAAATTTCACGCACACTCTTTGTTCCTTCTGGTCGGCCATCTCACTAATCGCCAAAGGGTTGAAACAGGAACGCACACAACAGAGCACCACAGACAAACCACTTAACTTAGACTGACGCCAGCTCACTAACAGTCGCGGGAGACCCCCAGCTAACACCACCTAGCAGCACAACTCGTAACTACAAAGCATGCGCGCGCAACAGGTCGTTTCCGGTTATTTTTGGGTCCCCCTTCGTATTAACCTCTAATGGCTGAATGTTACATATATATGCAGCAAGCAGCACCCCATGTTGGGCGAATGTTATATTTATACGGGGCAGGATACGTGCTCTCTTTGGGAGTGCTGACAGTTTGATCTTGGGTTTGAAACCAAAACAAACCCACGTAAGGTCATGTCAGTGGTTCATTCCTTAGCTCTGAATAATGAAATCGTTTATCACGGTACTATTTACATTTAGATATGACTGTATACGACCTGGTCAGCCAAATATAGCCCAGCTTTGTTTCGAGAACTGATGAGGAAATGCTTGCAGATGAGTGCTTCCAGAGCTTTCAAGGAAGTGTGATGTATTCAAGGATTGGTTTTCAGTGGCAAATTATCAGTTATGAAATCAGTGATGGATTATCTAATATTTCTTTATCAGTTAAAAAGTCAGTCAGACTGTCATATATTTCTTTGTATATCATTTTTATTTTGCGTCTTGGAAGAGGTATAAACCCACTGAGTCAGTATTACTTTGTGGGTAAAAGGCATCTTCGCCACTGTGACTTTCGGTATCAGTGTTGGACTGGCACTCTTTTCGACTAGTATTATAATTACTTTGCATCACTATTTTGTGAGTATTACTAAAAGGTGAGTGTCGCTTTGTCAATCAACATAATTTATTTGATTTTGCTGGAAACCCCTCCCCCAAGATGAATCTTCAATTGCACAAGGCGAATATCATGGACAATGGCGTTTCTTGGGGGAGGCCAAGTTATCTGGGGCCCAAGTGAGTCGAATGGAGGTGAAACATTCACAACACTGGCCAACCAAAGGGAAACAAAGACGTCTTGTGTTCTGCTAAATAAGAAAAGCAGGCGCACCATTTTCTACTGCAAAAAGTGTGATGTTGCGCCGTGTGCCGCGGACTGCTTTGAGAAGTGGCACACGTGACAGAGTATGAGGTATTGTAAACTGTGAAGTGACACAGTTCAAACTCCCATACAGTCTGAACAAAATATTATTGTTTACAGTGTGATTATATTTACAATATCACCAAGTCTCAAGGTTGAATATCACAGTCAGTGGCGTTTCTTGGGGGAGGCCAAAGTTATCTGGGGCTCAACTGAGTCAACTGAAGCTGAAACATTCACAACACTGGCCAACTAAAGGGAAACAAAGATGTCATGTGTTTCGCTATATAAGAAAAGCAGGAGCACCATTTTCTATTGCAAAAAGTGTGATGTTGCGCCGTGTGTCGCGGACTGCTTCAAGAAGTGGCATGCATGACAGAGTGTGAGGTATCGTAAACTGTGAAGTGACACAGTTCAAATTCGCGTACAGTCTGAACAAAATATTGTTGTATATAGTGTGATTATATTTACAATACCACCAAGTCTCATAGTTGAACAAAAAACTACAGGTAAGTCCTCTGGAATTTCATAACATAATAAAGATTATATTTTGCATTTCATGACAAAATAATCACAGTTAATTTTCGTTTGTAAAAATGGCTCTTTTGTGTATATGTAGAAAATGTGATTGTCTTTCAGGTTACTTTTAGTTCGTGTTTCTATGTTGCATAGAATGGAAAATATGTAGTTTTTCTGAAAGTTTGCAATGTTAATTAATTAGGGCGATTTAAATTCTGGTCGCAGAGGGCTCCCGACAATTTAAAAGTCCATATGTTAAAGGTTAATATTTGAAATTAAAGTAAACATTACTGTATTTGGATGTGTTTTTATGTTTATCCGATGCATTTAAATCTAATGACAAGTCAGGTTGTGATAGTGCAATCTAAATTAACTACACAACGCGAATGAGATGTCATCTGTATCTTCATGTTTCATCTTCAAGACTAATGATTGGATTTTGATAAAATTTTAAATTGGACTGAGGCTGCTTACACTAAAAGTTGTCATCTGAATTTAATTTTGATTTATAAAGTGAAAACCCTATTTCAGGTTTCTTCAGGACCCAGTGGATCTGAATGCAAAACTGAGAAAAATCTTAAGCAGAAGTAATATAAATTGAGTATGATGAAAGTGATTATTAAATTTGGGAAAACTTTAAATCAAAGAACATTAAATGGGGGCTTACTTTACCTGAAGATCAAACTGAACTCTGACGGTATCAGACACAGTTCATGATATAGAGAAATTGCACATAACAACATACAAATATTATCAAAATCTATAACAGTATCCTCCTTTCATGTTATCTGCACCTGGGAGAAACACTTTTCCAACAGTGACACTGTATCATATTGTCAAGCAATCAAGTGACTACTGATGGGGTTTGGATTGGTAATTAGATCTCACTCTTGAACAACTTGTGACTACACTTCCTGCGCTTACGTCCTTGCAGGTTGGTGGCCATCACACACCAACCTCCTTCTCTTCTGCCAGCTCAGGACTCTCATAATGGCAGCTGGTTGTTATACAGTCCAGGCACGGAATGCACAGAAAATGTCTCTTCCATTATTGTGTGTGTCTGTTACGGTGATCATGGGGAGCTACTGAGCCACTGCATTGCTATGTGTGTGTATGCAGAGCCATACCCTAGCAAAAGCTGTCTCTGCTGCTTCACAATTCTAGCTATCAGCAGAGATGCCACAATATGGTACTTGTGATCCTCCTTTGTATAATTAGTGTGCAATCACTACTGGCTGCAGCAGGCACCAAGTAGCCAATAGTCACTGGTTTCTAAGTACTTACGTACTGTCTTGTTTAATGCATGTTCATGAAATGTAATTACCTGAAGGTGTTCAAAAATTTAATTTATCATTTTTTAAAGTATGTGGCATCATTAGTATGATTTTACATATTATTCTTAATATCATGTGAAAACTTCAAAAAATTCGAATACTTAAATCTGTAATTGTAATTGTAATTATGATGATTATATTAAATGCTGCACTTCTGGTATTTAAAACTGACAAATCTTTCATCTGCAGAGAAGCCCAAAGGCAATGAACAGTAATTAATTGTATTAGTTAAGGAACGCTGTTCAAAGTGGAAGTCACTCATGCTTACTCATTGAAGCATGACTCATCATCTGCTGGTGAGCAGGCATAACTGGTACCATCCCCATTGGCTGTTCCATCATCCAATGCTGAGCTTGCATTGCAGTGGTGCTTGCAATATAGGCTTGATATTCAGGTGGCATCTCCCAAGTCACTGCATTTGTTTCCATATTCCAGTAGTACACATATCCTGAATTTTCATCATAGCATTCTTGCCAAGCTGAAAGAAAAGATCGATACATGAACAGGGAATTCTGTGAGAGCATGCGGTAGCATAGTTGGTTGAGGCACTATGCTACAAGCCGGAAGGTCATGGGTTCAAGCCCTGATGAGGTAATTGGATTTTTTTTTTCAATTGGCCTAATTCTTCTAGCCGCACTATTGCCCTTGGGTTGACTCAGCCTCTAACAAAAATGAGTACCAGGATTTAATTGAATAATTTTCCTGGGTAGTCAAGCGCAGCCGGCACGTAAGGCTGACAACCTTGCCTCCATCTCTGAGCCTCAACATCTCACAACCCTATTGGCTGTTACAGGGATAGATTTACTTTTACCTTACTTTTTACAGGGAATTCTGCATCAAATTCGAAAGGCCTACTTTCCAATGTAATGATTTCCAGCACTAAAATTCCTTTGTAAATGTCATGTTCAGATATCATAAAATTTAGTTTCAAAATAAAAATAAAACATCCAACTCAAGTGTCTTTCACTGCTTGCAACTCTCACACACACTGCCATAATTTTCCTTTTCCGTTTGGGGAAACTCATTTCTTATGTGAAGATTCTGTTCATTTTCTATTTTTCGCGTGTAACCTCGAAGTTTCACAACACTGCCATGTCAGTAACTTCTGACTTATAAATAATATTTACAACATGTAAGAATGTTTACAATCTGTTTCCATGCATATATGATTTGAAGCTTTCACGGGAACAGTATATAATGAAGTCTTCTTGGGCAATCAGTAATGTCAGCGTGGAGTTTGTGGCTGACATTTCAGAGTTTCTAAAACATCAGACACTAATTTCACATGGACATGGCTGATTGCCAGAGAAGATTTCTTCAATTCATAAAGTATTTCATATTCACAACTCTCAAGTCCTTTAGTTATTTAGTTATTGCTCTCAAGGTAAAAGCTAAATGAAAATGTTACAGCCTATATATATTTAAAAATAAAATAATTTCTCTACATGTTCTGACCAGTAACTAGAAATGTCAGAAGTATACTTGTATGTGACGTGATATATCCTGTGAACTGAAAAATTACTATTTGTTTACTAGGAGCTCCATGTACTCATAATCAAATCACATCATTATAACATGCAATACTGAAAAACCTTCTAGCAGAATTAGTACTACCTGCAACCAGCATGTGCCACATTCTATTGACTCTGTGTTGCCATAATCTCATACAGTATCATTACGGTTTTACTGTACAGACACAAATGTAAAATGTAAATATGAACCACATAGGAAAGAGAATGCTGGCTATGTCCTGCCCATGTACTCTCAGGTACAAAGTTCAGTAGAGTAGAAAATGTTGCATTTCCTTTTTCCTTATTAGCTCAAAGATAAATTCACTATAACATTTGGGACTGAGAGAAATATGATAGATGGAACTCTGTACATTTAATACAATAAGTTCCACAATTTTCTTGGATTAACATTTACAGATCAGACATGAAGAAGCAGCACTTAGTATTCATATCTCTGCGTAGATTTTCGCCCTCTCTCTGCCAGTCATTTTCTGATATAAAATACAGCATCATCTACAAACAACATAGGTGTAGGCACAGAACATGTAATTTACAAGTGTGTGTCCCAGGATTCTAAGGCACTTTCAGGCGGTTAGTCACTGGCTTCCCACTGCGGCGGCCCGGGTTCAATCCCGGGTCTGGTCAAGTGGGATTTGTGGTGGACAAAGTGGCACTGAGGCAGGTTTTCTCAGAGTACTTTGGTTTCCCCTGCCAATTTTCATTCCATCAATTGCTCCACAATCACCCCCACCTATCACCTGGGGCCGGTACAGTAGGCCAGAAGTGGCTGCAGTACAAGGGACTTAGTCCCAACCCACTAGCTATAATAAAAAAAAAGGGTCTGAAACTCACTACAGGTAAGCCTTCTTTTATGATTACTTAATTTACAAACTTTTGTTAGCAAAAACAACTTAAAGAAAGCAGTCTTCTGGGATTTGGCACCGTGTATATGTGGTTAACACCACATATACACGGTGCCAAATCCCAGAAGACTGCTTTCTTCATAGTCACCGCCGTGAAAGCCTCAAATCTTACAAAAACAACTTAAGTTCATAAGTTTGGCAACTTCAAGCATAAAGTAATGGCAATTTTGTTTTTGGTTTAAGAACTTTCACCTTATAAACAATCCTCATGGACTGAATTACCTTTGGAAATCAAAAACCAAAACCGTATATTTCATAAATGATGGTATGTATTCCTTTTATTATGGTTCTTGCCCATCACCAAATGTAAAATTTAGTTGTGATAAAAATTTCTATGAACATCAGAAGGCACCAGTCTATAGTACAGATTTTGTTTGTTCAATTATAAAAACTAATTTCCTTTAACACACGAGGCAAGCTCTTAAAATAGTATGGCTCACCCATAGCTGATGAGGGCTGTATGTGGCTCCTTGTATCTGCAGAATGCACCAATTCTGTCATCTGTGATGTTGGATTTTCAGCATGGGGTTTGGCTGGAGCAATGGTTTGAATTTCCTAGGGCAAAATGATGCTTTAAAATCAAAAGACTTGAAATGAAGAAACCTGGGCCAACATTAATACCAAATGATCAGCTGATGAACACAGAGGAAAAAATTGTATTCATTCAAGAGCACAAACAAGTAAACTATGTGTGTTAAAATGAGGAAGTCAATATTCTTACACTAGATCTTACAACAAGGACAAAATTAATTTATACAGAATATGAGCAAAAGAATATACATATAATTCTGGGATTCTTTATACAATTCCCAGATCATGAAATAAAATATGTTTGGTCCCATAAGGCTAATAGAAAAGGTAAAGTTATTCCTGCATTTAATTATGTAACTATGCCACGTAGACACACGGGACAGTGGAGGTAAAACTCCACCATCCTCAACTTCATCACCAAATGGAGGTGAGTGGTCAGTTTCATGTATCTGCGGCTGTAACCCAGGGAAACAGCGGCTGCTACCCCTTATACTGGAGACTAAGCAGTTCCCAGAGATGATCAGGACACTAAAGACAAGAGAAAAATCTCTTGGCCCTGACAGGAACTGAACCCTCGTCGCCCGCCCCAATATCTAGTCACAACACTAAATGAGCTATGCCAACTTCTCTTTGGTCCCCTGACATAAAGTAAAGCAATCCACACTTGGTAACCATATTACAAGAATGACTTTATTTTCAAAATGTGATGCCTTATATAAAATAATGTTTAACCAGGTTCTTATCACTCATTTAAGATATACTTTTTAGTCATTATATAATGGACAAACATGATGCGTCTGAAATATCCCTGAGGGTTCTGTCATCATCAGTGACAAAGATCATTACTCATCCCTTAGAAATTTACAATATTCTATTTTTAACATACTGCTGTAGGGGTTAAATTTGCAGTGAAGGGTCACCTGGTGTGCATGCGCCTCTGAAATCACTGAATCCCATACCGTTTCAGAGACACTGAGGTCAACCCTGTTTGCATGGCTACCTGAACATTCTCGAAGTTGTAACGTGTATAAAATTGTAACTGCAAAGTGGGACAGTCTTAGTTTAAGTCATAATGAGTGTAGAATTGTGAAGACGTAAGGCCAAAATAATGCAAGCATGTGTCCAGCGCAGGCAGGAGATATGAAATAATGCATTCTCTGAACTGTGAATAGTTCAGTGCAGCAGAGAGAAGATGCCAGAAGAGGGAAGTGCAGCTATGTTATGAAGAAACAAGTTTACAACGAACTGACATAAAGATCAAGTGGTTATGATCAATGAGACAATAACTGTTCTGAATAACAATAAACATTATAATATGATGGGAACCAAAATCATTATACTTGAGATATCAACGAAAACACAGAACTTTTCTTCCTTAAGGTTGCCTACTCATATGTACCCTCATGGAAAATAAAGAGGAACTAGGGAGTTACTCACTTTAAGGAAGTCTGACACCTTGGCATCTAACTCTCCTGCTGCTTCTCTTCCTTCTTCTTCAGCCTCACTGTCTGAGTGATAAGGCCCAACCAAACCAGTCAGTGGATTGTTGCTGTCAGCTTTACTTGACGAAGTGGAAGAGATGGCCCCTTGCACACCTGCTCCACTCTCAGAGTCCCCATTCTGGCTACTGTGCTCTGCACATATCTGCTGATATTTAGCTGTTAAGACATCAAATAGGAAGAGATGAAAAGCATTTTATTTTTGTTATGTTTGGTCCGGAATTTCTCAACTGGAGATCGCACATCAGCCAAACTTTCTTTTCCCGTTCCTGGAGAATGAACTATATTCCTTTAATCAAAATTGTACAAATAAACGGTTTATATTTAACTCATCTTGCTATTATATTGTATGCCATACCATGTTTGTGGAGATAATCTTTTCAAAAACATAAATCTGGCATGTTTGCTTTTAGGAACCAAAGAATACTATGACAAACCTCTTGTCGACTGGTTCCAGAACTTCCTCTGAGAACCTTCAAACTGCAAGTCTGAACCCTTACTGACTCAATGAACTTCTCAGTGACTAAGGAAACTATACTGATTTGTTATTTCAACTTATATCAGCAAGTCCAGTGTATCAGAGTACAGCTTATATGTATGGAGGTTCTGGCCATACAGTATGGTATATAATTAATCAGTTGTGTACATCCACTTATTTTGCTACATGTTTCAGCCTAGCTGGACATCTGGCTAATTCTGCATTCATTATCCACTTAACTGTTACCGTTATTCCTACACACTGGTCAATGTTTACAATAGGAATTTATGTGTTAATTTATTATATAGTTTTCCTTAACCATTTTGTTACTGTAGCATGTTGTCACATTGATTTCTAGTGCAAACCCTGGCAAATGTCTAGTAACAAGAGTTAAGTGGACAATGATAGCAGAATTGGCCTCATAATGGCCAGCTGGGCCAAACAATACAGGAAAGTAAGTTGATGTGTGCAACTTATAAGTGTTAATTATATACCATGTTATGTTGATGGAACCTCCATCATACTAACAAAGTTACACAACATGATACTCCAATACAATACTACATACAGAATAACTTGTATGATGCCCATTAAAGTGTGACATGGATAAAAGAATTGGTGGCCAACACGGAAGTTACACATGGAACCTAATATTTAAACAACTGGCAACCTGAAATATAACATTTGGCAGTTAGAACAATAATAGCCAACAAATCACAGAACATATTCAGAACTTACTTTGCCAAGTTCGGCGAGGAGAATCCTGTTTGTCATTCAGATTCAAAACCTGCCGTCTTCCTGTACCGCGGCGCTTCATACCCATTATATGATGTTACTCTTATTGGTTATAAATCAAGCTTTCCTTACACATGAAGGAATGCTGGAAAAGAAAGAAGGAAATTGGCATAAAAATGCTTTTAACTCCTCCCATATAAATCAGAATACATACAGTTTGTAGTGCAGTTGGTTGACGCACTATGCTACAAGCTGGAAGGTCGCGGGTTTGATTCCTGATGAGGTCACTGAATTTTTTAATTTACCTAATCCTCCCAGCCGCACTATGGCCCTGCGGTCGACTGAGCCTCTAACAGAAATGAGTATCAGGAATCTTCCTGGGAGGTAAAGGACAGCCAGGACATAAGGCTGACAACTCTCTAGAAAATGTGGGAGCCTCGACGTCTCACAACCCTATGGGCCTTCACAGCCTGTTACAGATAGTTTCAACTTACCATTGCTGCTGTTGGGATATTGGAGAACAACTAAAATTATGTTACAGCAAAGAATGTTCTATTTGTTCTGTGGTGGGAGTTCCATCATGTGATAATTTTTCACTCATGTATAAAAAGTCCATGAAGTAATATCATACAAACACTCCATAACAACCCATGTTGTCTCCTAATTTGCTTTATAAGAAAAGGTAGGTTCTACTGTTTTATCCACATGTACATCCAGATGTCTGTACCCTCCCTGCAACTTCTGAACGAATTCACAACTGTTCATGGAACTTGGTAAGAACATCATGCCACTAGATGTCTCTCTATTTTTATAGCTTTTCATTTCCAATCAATAATATCAATAAGGCAACCATGCTGACATCTGTGATTAGATTAACAATAATACTTCTTAACTTATGATTCTGAAAATTTGTGTGCTAATAGATTTTCAAGAAATATAATTATCTTTAAATTTTTTCTGAAGCATGCTATAGGAACACAGCAGTTGCATGAAAGCAGTATGAGAAATTTTGTAAGGAAATAGGTCATATGCATAACTACTGATTCTGTATGAATCATTTTGGTCTATGTCACCAATAGTAAAAATGATACTGTGCAACCTTTTGCAGTCATACATAGAAAATTTAATGTAATCTGATTCTGTACTAACTAGAATCAAAGGAATCTCCCTATCTTCTTGGGTATGTTGCTGTGATTTTATTTTTTTCATTAGGGTGTACTGTGTATCCCTTCTGTGATGGCATTTATGTTGCAGACATAAACGCACACCCTAAAGAAAATAACAAAATCACAGCAACATACCCAAGGAGATAAGGGAGAACTAAAAACTAATAGCATTATCACAAATAGCTTCTATAACTATAGCATAACAGTGAACCCCGGGCAAAGGACAACTTACAATGCATGACAAAATCGCAAAGCAACACAGAAAAACACGACAATTGTAAACAATTTTAAAATTAAATCTTATTTTCTGGAAAATTTTAAAAGCAGAAAAATTCTTGCAACTTTGATGGCTGCATGTATTATATGATTGTATGACATGATTGTACTGATATGGATCCATATTAGGTCATTTCAATAACTAGAGGCGTTTTTGACAAGATAGCCTGAAAATGGTCCCATATGCAGGCCGAAAACTGTAGCAACCATTATTTTTTTTATTGCTAGTGGGGTGGGGCTAAGTCCTGCGTTGTGGAGCAATTGGTGAAATGAAGATTGGCAGGGGAAACCGACGCACCATTAAATAAAACCAATGTGAGCAGCTCAAATTGATTTTTATTTACTGCTGTGTTGGCAGCCAAATACCATCAATCATGATACACATCAGGATGCAAATAGCGAAGAGAACTTCAGGTAGAAACGATTGTGCCATTTGACATTTTTATGTTAAAAATCATAAATATGATGGAAGTGAGAACACTGATGTTATACATGACATACTTAACATATTCATATCGGTATTAATGGAAACCATGCAAGTAAATAGAGAACCTTACTTTAAAATGATTACTTTATATAGTCTGCTATCCTCACCACATGGACCAATACATTTAAAGAGAGGTATGTAACATTATTCCTAGTTGGTTCTCTATTCTGAAATTAAATAATTTATTCAAAAACAGACATTTCATTGAAGAAATAACATCAGTACATTAATCCGCTTACTGAGTCTCCATGTGGCCTACTCCACGTACTAGTGCTAATAAAGGATGGTGCTTCTGAATTCTAGGAGATAATCTACCGTTTATTTTCAATTTTATTACCAGTTTTGAATTATAATTTGATATCTGAAGAGGTAACCTTATGTTCTAATATAGTTTTATTACCGTGAAATATATAATTACGTTAACTTCGCACGCTTTGATAATATGTAGTCACAATTCCCGTTATTAACATAGGTTAAGAAACTTCGCATAAACCTTTGTAAGTAAACTACGCAAATAGGGGCACTAATTGAATCCATCACGTCCAAGGATTCAAATAATAACCATCGCTTATTACACAATCACATTTCGTACAAAACTTACCATCAGGTAAAACACAAGCCTGGGAAGTAATATACAACTATTCTTAAAGTGTTTCACCAGACAGGAATATGTCTAATATTTCTCACACATAATTTCACAATTTCTTCAATTAACATTCTGGAGTCATATAAAAACTAGTTCCGTCAATGTTTACGTCTATGTTCTGCATTTTATGTATTTGGTTATCATACTTATCGGTCACGTCGGTAACTGTTTTCTTCACGAACTACTCTCCATTACCGGCCATTACTAACGTTACAGAGGGTTACGGCGGTTACAACGGTTACAACTATACCGAACTATATGAACGATATGAACTGCCAACCACATATAACCCGTATAACACACCTACTAGCTGAACACTGCCCGTAAGCATCGTGCTGCTATCTTCAAGTGTATCCGTACCTCGCGTGGCGAGCGTAATACACTTAGTCCCACGCCAATTGACAAATGTCCTACAGACAGCAGCCGGAAAGCCACTGAACGTCCGCAACAGTCTTACTGCTGCCCTAGTAGATGGCGTAGGAGCCTCTTTGTCAGGTCTATTGAACAGTGTTTCTCAACTGCCGGGCCGCGGCCCGATACCGGGCCCACGTCTTGCAGGAAAAGGAATTTACTGGGCCGCGGTATCCAAGTCCAAGTCACATTGCGACTGACGGTCCGTCAGTCCGTGTGTCTTGGTGTCGAGCCCCGACTGGGGCTCATGACCAGATTTTTTTTTTCTTATATGAAAGTTACTGTCATGTTCATTTGAGGCGCCCTCTCTGACGAGAGGTTGGGGTCTGTCATTTATCAGTCACGAAAGAGGTTGAGCTTATTTAGCCTCGGCACGGACAACACAGAAAACAGTTACGTGATAGGTACTGCTGTTGCGTGACGCCGTGTTGACAGGTTGCCTAGCAACACTGTCGAGAGTTGTTTGCTGCTGTGTAGTAACGGCGTTATCCCTTGATACGTCACCGCGGGGGAGGGGGTGTTTACCGAGCGTCGTGCCCGTCGTGCTTACCCCAACTTACCTGCAGACTACGTAGCAAGAGAAGCAGGGAAAGTATTCGCATATGGGATAAAAGACGCCGACATAAAGATTCAGCTACTGCTGGGAGGGGAGAAAACGGTGAACGAGGCCCTCCGACAAGCACTAGAGCTGCAGGCGGTACTGGTAGCAGCTAGACCTCACGAAGATAGCACCAAGACATACCGGAAGTACCGATCGCCCTCCAACCAACGAAGAGACGGAAGACAATCAGGGTGCTGGAGCTGTGGAGAACTGGACCACTTCGGGAATAACTGCCCCTACGAAAGGACGGCCGATAATGAAATGCGCCGAGAACATGAAAATAGGCCAGGCAGATACACACGGCAATTGCCAAGAAACCACAACGAACACACGAACAAGAAGGGTACCCAACCGTCGGGAAACGAGCGACGGCCGGCGGAGATCGGCGAACGCCGGCGTATGCATTAAAGCCCTTCCATCACGCATTGACCGTCATCACGGAAAATGTCGACCCTAGGCTGGTCACCCAAGGCTGGGTCGGTGACAAACCGTGCATGGTGACCATAGATACCGGAGCGTACGAAACTGTGGCTAGGGCAGACATCGCCGACGGATGGCCCGAAAGTGAGCCCGATCAACGTTTCACGCTGCAGACGGTATCTGGTATCTGGTGAATCCCTCCCTATCCAGAAAGAAATTTTTCTAACTCTGACCCTGGGGCAGCGATCACTGAAAATGTGGGTTTTTGTCGCAGATATCACCAATGAGTTCATTCTAGGACTGGACATACTACGCGCCTACAATGCATATGTGGACATAGGGCGCCAAACGCTGCGACTGGCAGAAGAAGAAATTTCATTATGGAGTCCAGGGACAGGACCCTGTCCTTCCAGCCTAGTAGTGGCCAAGGACTACGTAGTCCCCGCACAGTGTGAGGGCATAGTGATGGCCAGAATGGAGAACCCCCTCGGAGTAGAAAATGGTCTGGTAGAACCAAACCCTCAGGCCCATCCGCCTGAAGGAATCTACGTAGCCAGAACCCTAGTGCGAAACCTGAGTTCACGTGACCCTACTTCCTGTTGCGCCCTCCATGTCACAATATTTTACTCATTACTTTGTTTCCCCTTGTTTGCAAATATTATTCTTGACTTAAAGTAGAAACCACGTGCCAAAGCCTACATACAGCTAGTAAAATTATGCTTTATATATGACAATATTTAAAGTTTGAAGTGTATAGGGATAATATGACTTTATGCCTTAATGATTTATTAAATACCGACGAAAATGGATCTTCAACTAAAAAATTAATATTATTATCTGAGTCTCCTAATTTCTGTTTTTTTTCATGAGGATTTTCAACCATAATTTTTATTTGTAGTTTTATTTTCCATACTCAAAGCATAATCTGCGCATCTTAGTTTACTTCATTACACTAATCTAAAATATCAGCTCTGATGAGCAATGTTACTTCCTTCAGTAAAGGAGCTGGATATGGTGATGCTCAGCTGGGATTCGATCATCAGCACAGAAGGCCGCTCCTCGTTGCATCTACGTCCACACAGGATCTTGGGAGACCACACAAGTAGTACACTGTCTTTACCAAGCCTTACAACTAGAAGCTGACCACTATTCTCCTTGTAATCTCGAGGTATAGAAAGAATGGATATTTAACTCCATACCTCTATACGCCTCCAAATTGTAATACTCAGATACAAGAGCTAGTTTATCCTCACATCTCTTTTTTAACAAATTCAGTTCAAGGCTATAAACTAAGCACACTCCTACTATGTAATTATTTCATTCTTTTTCATTTATCTTTCGTTTTCAATAGTTTGTTCTGAATTACCTCTCTTCTTCACTCGGGTGAGGAATGAAGTTTTGTAACCATATGTTAATTATCTCACAATGTTTTGTTATCGAATTCTAACATAGGGAACAATGGGGCTACGCCTGAAATTCCGGGACATCTGAATGTGTAACACTTGACTTTCTTATTTTTCTCGATTAGCCACTGCTAAGCAAGTACACTATCGATAAGCCTGGGATCGTTCGGATGAATCGAAAGCATATCACCAATGCACACGATTTCTTCGATTTCTTCGATTTCTTTTATCGTGGCTTTCGATCATTGTGCACGTAATGAAAAGTAGGGTTAACCTGCTTGTCCGCCACTTTTTCAACCTTTTGTGTGGTACAGCTGAGTTCAGTACTGTAAAATCTATTAACTAGACACCTTGCAAGTATCTGTGGCTTTAGATTAATTCAGTTACATTAACTGTCTTCTTAAATATCAATAAACTACTTCAAAATTATTTTGTGGAAGAGTTATACCTGCTGCGTCGACTAGTGTGTGTAATCGTAGTTAAGTCAGTGCGCGTGCAATGACAAGGAAGGTTGTCTTGTGGTCCGCTGATTTGCTAACGTCTTGTGTGGTAGAGCAATGTTCAGTTCCGTAAGTTATTTTAACTACAAATCTTGCAAATAACTGTGGCTTCATATTAATTCTGTTAAGTTAAATGTCATCTAAAACACTTAAAAATTTCCAGAATTGTTATTGTCTTGCAATGGGTCTTCATAGCACAGGCTGTTAGTCGCTGGCTTCCCACCGCGGCGGCACGGGTTCAAGCCCGTGTCTGGTCAAGTGGGATTTGTGGTGGATAAAGTGGCG